GTGATTCACCAACTCTTTCAATGCTTGCATTCCCAAGTGCCCCAAGCGTGCATGCCATACCTCAGCTTGGGAGATACTCCCTTTGTTGGTTGAAACAGCGGGAAGCGAGACAACGTCGTTCTTCGTATTGTTAGAACCGCGCTTGATCTCCTACTTCATCTTGTAGAGCCGCCCGGTACGCTCACCTTCAGCCACCAAATTTCCTGCACTGTCCCACACTTTGGCTTTCCCCCCTTGCAAGAGTACAGAGGCACCTTTCTCTTCAAGTTGTCCAGCTGAGAGCAAGTTTGCTCCCAAATCAGGAACAAACAAAGCTTTATTGACACAAAATGACTTACTATCCTTTTCGAACTCAAGCTTGCCGACTCCTTTGATAGGTACTTTGCCAAGATCAGCAAGTGTCACAGCTTTTGAGTCATATGAGGGCTGAAAATCCTTGAGAATGGACTGATAGGGAGTCATGGTTTCAGAACAGCCACTATCAAGGATAAACTCCTCACTACTAGTAGAAAAAATGTGCATGCAAGTGGCGGCGTTGAAAAGGACAGGACCTTCAGAATCTTTGGACTCATTTTGACTTGTAGAATGACTTGCCATGTTTGCTATGGCTGCCTTACCCTTTTCGGATAGTAGCTGAGGTGGGGGAACCCAATTAGGAGGCTTCTTAGGACAAGCATACCACGGATGACCCCACTCATGACAACAAAAACACACGAAATTAAACTTTTTAGCATTTGAGGCTTGGCTGAAATTATTGACTCTTGGCGTATAGACTCGTGCATTCCTAGGCTGATATTGATTGGGAATAGAAGGCCTTGGCTGGACATAGGGACTTGACTTATAGGGAGGACTTGACTGAGCAAAACGAGAGGGTTTGTATGGGTTGGAAGGTGACTGAAAATTCGTACCATAGTAAGGTTGAGGGCGGTTTGGGCTGAAATTTCCTTGCCTCTGGGATTGGTTGCCATATCTTGTAGCTGCTGCAGCACTCCACGCACCCTCGTCACTCCGCTTGTTTCGTGCAAGGTCTCGACTTTGCTGCTCGTTGACAAGGGCTTCGAAGATGAACGCACGGGTCTTCATTGATTGCGGAAGTGCTTGTAGTGTTGCACGGAAAGTGTCCCACTACGGTGTAAGGCCGGTGAGGATGACGGTCTTGAAAAGAGACTCTGGAATCTCCAAGCCGATCGCGGCTGCTTCCTCTAGCATCGTTTCAGCTCGTTGAAGGTAGGTTTGGGCTGGTTCTTCTTCTTCCATCTTGAGACTCATGAAGCGGCTCCACATCTCGGCCTGGCTGCTCTCGGATTTTGACTGGTGCATAGACTTCAGTCGGCTCCATGCTTCCTCTGCGCTGTTTGCCTTTGTAGAGCAGGGTAGGAGCGACTTCAACTGCTGCTCGTGAATGCTATTGAGTAGGTAGAGGAAGGCCTCCTTGTTGCGCCGTTCGTAGAGTCGTTTTTCAGCTTCTGAAGCATCTACTGCTGGTTTGGCTGCTTCTCTAGTGTAGTAAGGCCAGAGATCCAGAAGGTATGCAGTGAGCTCAAACTGAGTTGCCCATGTTGGAAAATCTTTGCCGTTGAACTTGGGGAGGTGAAGCTTAGGCATGAAGGAGGTGAGTGGTGAGTATGTAGTTGAAGAACTGCCTGGTGCAACTGCTTCCACTAATCCAGTAGCTCCTGATGTTGACTCTGGAGCTCCTCCGGCTGGCTGGAGTGCAGGGCCAGATGGGTTGTCTCCCGCCATGGATGGATTGTGCTAGGATAGGAAGGTGGTGGCGCTCTGTTGATCGAAACGACGGGCTCTGATACCAACTTGCAAAACAGAGTAGCTTTGATGACTGGTAGGCTGGAAACTTGGCTGGAAAAGCTCAACAGAGCTGCTGGACTTGGCTTGATGAGAGAAAACTTCACTATGATCAAGATTAACAAGCCCACTAAAGCACAACTTCTTAAGCATTACAAACATGCAGATTGATAGCTCAAACTAGGCTGCTAGACAAGGCAACTTCCTTGGGAACTTGGGCACAATTCAGATTCCATGAACCTTGAGTGACTTGAGAGCCACATGAGGTGCATGAATAAGAAATCTCTGGAATGTACTGTTATAGCTGATTCTGTTTTGTAGAAACCTGTAGAAACTATCGACCCTTCTGTTTGAGAGCAGTCCCGAACTGTATCGAGTCTTCGGCTGCAATCTGATTGTGCTGCAGAAGTTTCTGAATTTTCGCGAAGCCTTCAATCCGTCGCCGACATTCTTGCGGCTCCTTGTGTGCAAAGGACTGGGGCGGCAGAGACTCGATTCTCCAATTATATACACACGGGTGACGTCACCACATGCCGCCCCGCCCGCCCTGGCACAGATGGGATGCGAGGCAAAACGAAAAACCCGCGGAATCCCTCCGGGCCCCCGGAAATTCCCGGCTGACCAGGCAATAAAAACCCGCAGAAACCCGCGGGTTCAATGTCGTATTCTTATGCCAATATATATGTCGGCCGTACTGTTGCAATTTCGGGGACATTTGTCGAACAGTGCTCGACGGACATTGGCCAATCGCCGTCGAGCACCGTGCACCCCCGACAACACTGGTTACACCCCGTGGCAAGTCGCCAGGGAATCGCCTACACAGTGTTTCGTAACTCAAATATCAGCCAAGTTAAGGCCCTAAAAATAATATACGATTCTCGACGAAAGGGGTATTTCCGTCGAAAATGTGCAAAAAATTTGTTCTCGACGGAAGGGGTATTTCCGTCGAAAATTTATCAATTCTCGAAGGAAGGGCGTTAATACTTCAGTTCTGCAATTTCCTGTCTTCGACAGAGCCTTGGTTGGCATTAAAAGGGTGTATCGCCTTCGACAACATTTCGAATTCACGGCAAATATTTTTTCTTCGACGAAAACTCAAATGTGATGTTCGACAAGAGGTGCTCCCGGGATGTTCGACAGTACTTAGGGATTCCGCTAAACGTTTCGACAAAGCACATTGAAAATCTTTGCCCCTACACTTTCACATTTTTGTCGAGACAATACTGCATTATTTTCTGTCGAACAGGGAAACTCATTCGATAAGGTTCCGATTTCACAGGCGAAATTTCCGAGACGCTGTTCGATGAAATTGATTATCGACAGCAGAAACGGTTTCTAGATTTTGGCAAGTCAGCATCTGCATTCGACGCAGAAATAGTTGAGCTGCGTATTATCCCCAATAGTCAAAACGAAAGATTTCGACAGACAGAGCATAGCGGTCGAGAAGTTTATTTCAATCGACCAAGCATATCTATCGCCGCCAGCACCCTGTTTCACTTCTCTTTGTAGCATCGAGACTCACAATCACATAACTAATCAACAATGGTCGAGTTTTACTATGCTCGAGTTTCACTTCGTTTTATGTCGACGACGGGACGGTCGACGACAAAAATGCTGTCGCTGGCTCTGCTCGACGGGATCCAGTCGACGACGCCGACGTGCATTGCTAATGCACATTAGTGGTTGACGAAACCCTTCTATGGGCACTGCTCGGCGTGCTGTGCTCGACGAACTGGTCTCGGCGAATGCTGTTCGACCAAGCAGCGCCGAGCTGGTCGGTGAAAGTAACGCCTGAACCCTCGTCTTCGTACTCGGTTGAGTCGGTCCCTGCAGCGTGCTAGAAAAGCTGGACCCAGTGGTACAATAATGCATTCTCATTAAGTTCATATTCACTTGCTCTACGGCGCACGGGTAGCGAGCGAAACCATCGACATGTGTTCTACCTGGCACCTGCGCATGAATAAGATTAAAATTGATGATTACGTATTAATGAGAATTGTCGGGAATGCCCCCTTTTTTTGTGCCTCCTATTCGTTATCAAGTTTGCCCATTGCAGTTTATGTATTTATTTGTTTAGGTATACGCTTTTATTTCAGTGTCAGCTGGTCTGTGGCGCGTTCTGCCGCGCTTTTCTCTGCACCACTTTCCGTCGGGTCGAGACGGAATCCGTCGACGGAGGCGGATTCCGAATCCCTCCGCGAAAACCCGACGGATTTACTCGACGGACAGGGGGGTTGGTGCAGGCGGGGTTGGTGCAGACCGGGAGGAGCACGTGGGGTCAACGCCAGCTCGAGCGAGGACCACCTCGCGTCACTCCGAGCTGGCGTGGCTCGTTTCGGGCGGGCGGGTGGGCTGGCTCCCGCCCCTCGCGTGCTTCGCTAGGCGACGGCGGGAAAAAGGAAATCCCTCCGAGGAAAACCCGCAGGGGCGAACGGGTTTCCGCGGAGGGATTCGGGCGACGTTGTGCGGATGATTTCTCGAATTGACAATTACGAGTGGGTAGTAAAATGCATTGCGCTGGAACTTCTAAGGGCGGGTCAGGTGGCGTTCATTTTCATAAAGTTTACAAAGCAGTAACCTGATTTTTGTTTGTAACCGAACTGATTACGCCTTCATCGACCTTGGACGCGAAACGAGCGGAGACTCAGTTCGGATACTAGAACGGCCCGATTGGTTTGAAAATACGAAATCAGTTCATCGCAGATCCGTAAGGCAGATCAAAAGCGAAGCTGTGCTTCTTAATGAACATCGTTGATTTCGCCCACACAACAAATAGAGTGCCCAAGAAACATTCTCCTTCGCGAGTGAACCAACTGCGCGGGTGGCGCGTGGGCTGGTTACTTGGTTCGGAAAGCGGCTGGTTGTGTGCACAAACTGATTTGTGTGAGTACGCTGGGCCACCCATGACTAAATTTGACATCAACTGACTCGAAATCAGCCAAACTTACGAGGGAAAAAAAAAAAAACGAAAATGAACGCCACCTGTCTCGCCCTAGTTGTGTCTTTCCGAATGAGATTTACTAACAGCACTCTTCCACTCGCCATGCTATAGTAGGACGGTGATGGCGGAATTAACTGTTTCACAGGCTTAGATTGACACTGGACGGCCGACCGATATCAAATTATACGATGAGTCTCGGCAGATGGACCGCGAGATATGTAAGTTGCGCGCACATGGTGACTCGATTTTATTAGAAATGCCTGCCGGCAGAGTACGGCGTTGTGATACTACTAGCAGCGCCGGCTGGGAATAGTAGAGGCCTTTTTCCGCCATGCCGTCGTTGCAGCGGGTGGACGAGGTGGATTGCGCGCTCGTTTGGGTTGACCCAGAAAGAGTCGCTCGTGGCTACTACTAGACCGGGAGGATTTCGAGAATTCAGTTCTTTGCCAGTGAACAATGTTTAGCCGGAATGGAGGCGGTGATAATAGCAGCTGCGACTTGGAATCCTGTCGCGAGTCCTGCAAATCCTGTTCTAATAAGAGGAGCCGCATGAGAGCTGGAGCAGGGAAGCGCGGCAAGTTCGCAAGCAGCGCGTCTCCGAGCGTCCGTCGCATTGCCACCAGTTTCCCTTCCCCAACGACTGTCTGCGAAATTTTTGTTTGCTCCTCCATCCGCTTTCTCCTCACTCCCCGCTCCCCCCCTTCCACTGCCCCTTTCCCGTTCCCCCGCCGCTCTTTCCCCGTCCTCCCCCTCTCCCGCCGCCTCCCCCCAGGAGGACACCAACGTGCGCATGCGCAGGAAGCGCGGCGGGACAGCTGGCGGGCCCTCATTGGGCATCCGCGTGGGCGCGGGGGCCGCAGCGACCGTCAGCCTGCTCGGCGTTTCTGGGGGAGGCGGCATCTACGGCAGCGCTGGCGGAGGAGGCTCGGGGCGCGGAAGGGGGGGAGGGGGGGGAACGGGAGGCGGAATAGGGGGCCCAGCAGCGGGGGGAGTGGGGGTGATGAAGCTTGTACAGGAGCACTATCTTCGGGAGGACATCAAGTGCGGGTCTGCGCTGTGCTACGCGTGCTACACGCACCTCCCCCGCCATGACCCGCTGCTCTTTGGGGATGTGCTCCCCTGCCAGCTGCTCCCCCGAGAGCTGCTCTGGCAGTTCCCTGAGGAAGGCCTGCTGCTTTACGCTGAGGCGGACCGGCCTTCTTTGTCCGCTAGTGCGAGACACTACGTGGTGAGTGAGGGAGGGAGGGAATGTGTGAGTGAATGAGGGAGGGAGTGATTGAGGTTGTGGATGAGTGAATGAGTTGACGAGTTCACACAAGAATCAGTGAGTGAGTGAGGTTATCTCTCTGCCGCAGGTCGTCTTCCAATGTTTCCCTCGGTCTCTCGTTTGCCTCTCATCATCGCCTTGCTTCCTCCTCTTCTCTTCCCGCGCCTTCTCTCCCGTGCTCCCCTATCTCAATCTCCCCTCTTCCCCTCTCTGTGCCTCGTCCACCTTCCACCTGTGAAGTCGAGGGAGAAGTGGAGGAAGAGAGGCGATGATGAGGGACAAGAGAGAGATTGCGGAGAGCATTCGAAGACAACCTGCGGCAGAGAGATAGCCTCACTCACACATTTTCCACTTTATGTTGACAAATGCTACTAATGTTGGCCTTTGTGCCTCTTCGACCGTCCACTCTTTACCCCCTTCCCGCCCTCTCCCCCCTCCCTACTCTCCTCCCTCCCACCTTCGGCCCCCCGTTTCACCCTCTCCTGCCCTCTCCCCTCCTCTCCCCTTCCCCCCTTCATCCCCTCCCTCCCCCCAGATCCCCGATGCAGCCTCGCTGGTTGAATTCATGGAGGTGTGGGAGCTACCACCGATACGCCACACAATCGTGCTGGGCTCCGTGCTCAAGGAGGTGTGACCAGAAAAGAGTGCCCAAGGGGAAAGAGTGGGGGAAAGTGAGGAGAAGGTGGATGGATGGTTGGTGGGTGGGCTCTGGGCTCCATGCCCAAGGAGGTGCGTGGCAGGAGAGGTTGTGGAGGGGGGGAGGGGGAGGTGGAGGGAAGTGGTAAGTTGGGTGGGTGGGCTCTGGGCTCCGTGCCCAAGGAGGTGCGTGTGTGACAAGAGCGGGTTGCCAAAAGTGGGGAGGGAGGGGGTTGTAGAAGTGGGTGGGTGGGTGGGTGGGTAGGTGGGTGGGGTCTGCGCTGTGTGCGTAAGGAGGTGCGTGGCAGGAGAGTTTGGGGGAGGAGTGCGTGGAGTGAAGGGGGAGGTGAGGGGAAGGTGGATGGATGGGTTGGTGGGTGTGCTCTGAGCTTCGTGCCTTAAGGAAATGGATGTGTGACATGAGTGGGTTGCTGAAAGGAGCGGTGGGAAGGGTTTGAGGGAGTGGGCCGGCGGGTTGGTGGGTTGACATGGCAGCAGGAGGTAGCATAAACTGGGGGTATATGGCAGGAGGTAGCATGAGCTGGGGGTACATGGCAGGAGGTAGCATGAGCTGGGGGTACATGGCATGGCAGGAGGTAGCATGAGCTGGAAGAATATGGAATGTGTTCTCTGTCCTGTCCCTTCTCTCCCATCCTAACCTTTCCTCCTCACATCTCCTATCATCCCACTTTCCACTTCCTTCCCATATCTCATCCCCCATCCCCTCTCCCTTCTCTCCTCGCCCCTCTCCCCCCCTGCGCGCCCCTCTCTCCCCTCCCCTCCATTCGCCTTCTCCCTCCCAGGTGCTTCACTACTCCAGCGCCTATCACGCGGGACGCATCCGGTCCGTTCCTCCCACACCCACACCTTGCTGCCCTTGCTGCCGCCCTTGCTGCCGCCCTTGCTGCCGCCCTTGATGTCCTATTCTCCTATCTACTGCCCCGCTCCTTCTCTGTACCTCCCATGGTTGCATTGCTTAGTATACCCTGGCCTGCTTTCAATTCCCAATCCCATTCTAATTGTTTCTTGGAAAGACTAATCTCTCTCACCCCTCTCCCCTAGTCTTTCGCCCTTTCCTCGCGTTGTCCACTCAGTTGCTCCGTCTCAACAAGACTTCAAGATAAGTTCGTCCTTGACCCCCTTGGTCTCACCTACACGATGCTCCTTCCTCTCATCACTTCACCCCATCGCAGTGCTCTGTGTGAAGATGGGCGGAGGGAGAGCTCCTACTTTGACGACCGGCACTTCCTCTTCACGCACACCATGGCGGAGGAGAGGCGGGCGAGCTTGAGAGTCACACTTGGTGATGCTGCTTCTGCTGAAGGTGGGTGTGCGGGTGTTTGAGTTGAGTGTGTGACAGTCACCTCGTGACAAGGAACCTTCATTGGTTCGTCACTGCTGGGCTGAAGAAAGACACTTGGGGTGAGGTTGTGTCGGCTGAAATTGTGTGTGATGGACGCATGTGTACGTGTGTGTGTGGGGGCATGTGTGGTGTGGTGTGGTGTGGTGTGGTGTGGTGTGGTGTGGTGTCTCTCCACAATATGCTCTCATGCCCCCTGAGCAAAGCTTCGTTCGCATGCTCTTTACCATTCCTTCTTCTCACATCGAGCTACTATGCTTCTCATCCCCTCCGTTAGGTTGACTTATGCATCATGAGTTTATCAGCTTTGCATCTCACATCAAGAGCAAGTGTGCTTCTTGACCCCTCACATCTCACCAACCCAGTGGATCTGTGTCACGTGGTGGCGGCAGCACAGTGGTTCTCAACCCATCTGCACCGCACCATACCCATCCTCATCGTGTCGGACGAGCTGGCAGCAGCACGTGGCAGCATGCCATTGGGCGAGGTGCTGCAGGCCGTGCAGCGTAACGAAGTGGTGGTACGTGCGGGTTTTTGGGTGGTACGTGCGGGTTCTTGGGTGGTACGTGCGGGTTCTTGGGTGGTACGTGCGGGTTCTTGGGTGGTACGTGCGGGTTCTTGGGTGGTACGTGCGGGTTCTTGGGTGGTACGTGCGGGTTCTTGGGTGGTACGTGCGGGTTCTTGGGTGGTACGTGCGGGTTCTTGGGTGGTACGTGCGGGTTCTTGGGTGGTACGTGCGGGTTCTTGGGTGGTACGTGCGGGTTCTTGGGTGGTACGTGCGGGTTCTTGGGTGGTACGTGCGGGTTCTTGGGTGGTACGTGCGGGTTCTTGGGTGGTACGTGCGGGTTCTTGGGTGGTACGTGCGGGTTCTTGGGTGGTACGTGCGGGTTCTTGGGTGGTACGTGCGGGTTCTTGGGTGGTACGTGCGGGTTCTTGGGTGGTACGTGCGGGTTCTTGGGTGGTACGTGCGGGTTCTTGGGTGGTACGTGCGGGTTCTTGGGTGGTACGTGCGGGTTCTTGGGTGGTACGTGCGGGTTCTTGGGTGGTACGTGCATGCTGTGATGTAATCTCTGTTGCGTGCATCAATTTCGAGACTTCTTTGGACTTACAGGAGAGGTGTCAAGACATATGACCTCCTTACTTCGATTTCTGCAACGTCAGCCTTCTCTCTCCTTCCTCCTTTTCCTGCTCCCAACTTTCAATGCAGTTCCTTGTCTCGCCTTTTGTCTTTTTCGTAGTTGCCCCCTCTGTCCCCCATCGCCCATCTCCCATCTCCCATCTCCCTGTGCCACAGGTGATGACAAACGAGGCATTCTTCCAGACCTACTACGGCCACTGCACCACTGTCACCACGCTCATGGACTCTCTCGTGAGCACCCTGCTCAACCTTCTATTGTACCTGGTAACCACACGTGTTACTTGGAGCATAAAGTCACTGCTGCACCACTGTTGCCACTCATGGACTCTTTAGTAAGCACACCCAACGCTCTACCATACCATTATGGTAACCACCACTTTCACCACTCTCATGGACTCTCTTGTGAGCACACTCAAACCTCAACCTGATAACCGCGCACGTACGGTTACTCGGGATTCCGTCTTGCGTTCGCTGTTTCTGATTTTGATTCGCATTGTTTTTCCTCTACCATAGCTTCAGACTTGTGATTCAAGTCAGAGTAGGTCTTCCACTTCTTTTCAGTTACCGCAGTGCTCCTGTTTGACCAGTCCCCATCCGCATCCCCAACCCAACCCATTCTTATCCCCATCCCCATTCCTTTATGTTCTTAGCGTGAGCATCAACCAACTGTTGACCAGGACCCCCTCCACCAGCATGCCTTTGCTCCTGTCTTCCTTCCCCCCCACCAGGCCACCCAGCATGCCTTGCGCCTCTCGTCATCCTTCAAATCCACGTCTGGCAGCGGCAGGCTCAGTGGCAGCAGGTTCGGAAGCGGCAGGCTCGGCAGTGGGAAGCAGCGCAAGGAGGTGTTCACACCGCACCTGTCAAGTGAGTGGAGAACCACTTGACATGGAGTAGGAGGAATTGACACGGTGTGCAAGGTGACTAGGTCTGTGACAGTTGCAGAGCAGGGGTGCAACAATTCTTTAGGCGCCACAAAAATAGCAGGGGTGCGGCGAGGAGTTCTGGTGCTTTGAAAAGTGACACCGAAAGGTTCCTTCCCCATGGCCACTTTCATTGACAAATGCTTTGGAATGGAAATGCAATGCTGTATGTGCTCATTCACACCGTCTCCCTGTCGTTGCCATAACCCATTTCCTATTTATCATGATCTCTGATTGGTTTCTGCATGGTGCCAGTTCTCCAATGTCCAGGCACAGCAGTAGCAGAGGGCATCGCAGTCGGAGCTATCCGAGTGGGAGTGCTGCCTACTGCAATCACCACTGTTCCTATATCCCATTTCCCATTCGACAGGCTCAGCAGTGGCGGAGGGAGTGGCAGTTGGAGCTATCCGAGTGGGAGTGCTGCACATCACAACCACCGAGCCTTTCAAAGCCACCGTCAGACCCAAGTGAGGGAAGAGTGCTCTTGACTGGCGTTGACTTATTTTATTCGTGTGGTAGAGGGGGTGGCAGTGAGGGGCTATTTGTGTAAAAATGCTGCACGACACAACCACTGAACCTTTCAAAGCCACCGTGATGCACAGGTGAGGGCGGAGTGCTCTTGACTGCCGTTGACTGGCATTGACTTCCAATTCCTCCTGACTTTGCAGTTCTTTATCTCTTTGCTGCCTTCTTGCGCCATAGCCATTTTCGTCCCCATGCGTTCCCCTTATCCGTTTTCCCTTCCACGCGTCCCATCCTTCCCATCCAGTCGTAAGCAGGTGCACGCCCCCACATCAACATCACCATCCCCACATCAACATCACCATCCCCACATTCTAATTTATATTTGAACGTCAACCACCTCAACCGCGCTTCTTCCTGAAGGCTCATCTGCTCAGCCGCTCACAGTCTGCCCCCTTCCCCATGCCCTCTGCCCCACGCACCCCCACCCCACCACTCCTCTAATACAGTCGGAAGCAAGTGCGCGCCCCCCAGAGTGACATCACCATCCCCACATGGCGCCACCGCAACCACGCTCTGCATGTCAGCCTTACTACTCCTTATCCATTTGCCCACTCCCTCCCGGCTTATCCCCTTCCCCTTGCCCCCCCCCCTCCCGTCCTTTTCTTCCAGTCGCAAGCAGGTGCACGCCCCCCAGAATGACATAACCATCATCTCATGGCGCCAGCTCAACCGCGCTCTGCCTGTCAGCCTTGCCCTTTTTTCCCACTCCCCGCCTACCCCGTTCCCCCTGCCCCTTGCTCCTTGCCCCATGCCCCATCCTTCCCTTCCAGTCGCAAGCAGGTGCACGCCCCGCAGAATGACATCACCATCCTCTCATGGCGGCAGCTCAACCGCGCTCTGCCATTCTACCTCATACCCCCTATCCCCTGCCCCCCGCCCCCTACCACTGCCCCATGCCCCGTCCTTCTCTGCCTTCCAGTCGCAAGCAGTTACATTCGCCACACAGCGACATCACCATCCTCTCATGGCGGCAGCTCAACCGCGCTCTGCCAGGCGACACCGTGGCTGTCAGGCTGCTGGGCAAGCGCAGGGTGGGGGACAGACAGGTGGGGGGTGGGCACATGGGGGGAGGGCACATGGGGGGCGGGAAAATGGGGAAAGGGCACATGGGGGCCGGGCAGATGGGGGGAGGCGGCGTGGAGACGAGGGATGGGAGAAGGGGTTGGGGAGAGAGTGAGAAAGAGGGGGAGGGGATGAGGGGGGGAGAGGAGGGTGTGGTGGGCGTGAGGAGGTATGAGGGTGGGCGGAGTGAGAGAACGGGAGATGGAGGTGCGGTTGTTGAGGGTGGCAGTGCCGGTGGGGAGGATGGGGATGAGGGTGCCGGCGGTGGTTGGGTTGGTGGTGGTGGTGGTGGTGGTGGTGGTGGTGGTGGTGGTGGTGGTGGTGGTGGTGGTGGTGGTGGTGGTGGTGGTGGTGGTGGTGGTGGTGGTGGTGGTGGTGGTGGTGGTGGTGGTGGTGGTGGTGGTGGTGGCGCCATTGCTGCTGCCACATCTGACGCTCACCTCCCCCCGACCCCTTCAGCCTGGGATGAGGCACCCCCTCCCCCAGCCTCTTCAGGGTGGGGGGAAGCCCCGCCCCCGCCTCCCCCTACTGGCTGGGGGGAAGCTTCGCCTACTCCACCTCCACCCACAGGCTGGGAAGAAGCCCCCCCTCCCCCACCCCCTACTGGCTGGGGGGAGTCCCCTGCCGCCCCTCCCCCTCCCCCTACTGGCTGGGGGGAGGCTTCCGCTGCTTCCCCTACCCCTGGGTGGGGGGGTGGAGGGTGGAACGGGGGAGGGGTGAGGGATGGAGGAGGGGACGATCGCAGGGGACAGGCGGGGTGGCAGGCGAAGGAGCAGGGGCATGGAGGCTGGGGAGGGCTTGGCGATGGGCAGGGGCAGGGGGGTGGGGATGGAGATGTGTACGGACAGGGGCAGGGGGGCGGGGATGGGTATGGAGATGGGTATGGGCAGGGGCAGGGGGGTGGAGATGGGTATGGGCCGGATTACAGTGGGTGGCAGGCGGGTTGGGATGGGAATGCGCAGGGGCAGGGGGATGGAGGGGAGGAGCAGAGTGGGAGCAAGGTGGGGCAGGAGAGGTGGCACCGGAAACGACCTGCAGCCTCGCACTGGAATCAGCACAGTGGGCGTGGGGGTGGGCATGGGGAGGACTGGGGAAACGGGGAGTATGAGGAGGGTGGGGAGGAGGAGGGGTATGAGATGGTGGGGGAGGTGGTGAGTGTGCTGCACCGAGTGAGCCGTGACTTTGTGGTTTGCCTTAAAGACCACGTGGATGAGGTGGAGGGGGGTGCTGTGGGGGCGAGAGGTGGGGCGTGGCTGTGGGGGGAGGAGGAAGAGGAGGAAGAAGAGGAGGAAGAGGAGGAGGAAGAGGAGGAGGAAGAGGAGAGTGAAGAGGAAGAGAGTGACGAAGAGGAGGGAGAGGATGAACAGGAGGAAGAGGAAGGAGAGGAGGGAGGGGAAGAGGAGGCAGAGGAGCAGCACAGGCATAGTGTGCTGTCAGCTGCACATGAGCCGGCAGAAGGAGCAGCAGTGCATGCTGTGAGAAGCTCCAGCACAACCGCATGCAGCGAGCCGGACACCACGCCGTACAGCAGTGTGCGGGGTGGCAGCAGCATGAGGAGCGAGAGCATGGGCGTGGGGAGCAGGGAGAGCAGCATGCGGATGCACAGCAGCATGGCGGCGAGCAGCACAAGAGCCAGCTCTCGCAGCAAGCTCTCCCGTGCCTCCTCCTCCAAGTGAGTGCCTCCTCCTCCAAGTGAGTGCCTCCTCCTCCAAGTGAGTGCCTCCTCCTCCAAGTGAGTGCCTCCTCCTCCAAGTGAGTGCCTCCTCCTCCAAGTGAGTGCCTCCTCCTCCAAGTGAGTGCCTCCTGCTCCAAGTGAGTGCCTCCTCCTCCAAGTGAGTGCCTCCTCCTCCAAGTGAGTGCCTCCTCCTCCAAGTGAGTGCCTCCTCCTCCAAGTGAGTGCCTCCTCCTCCAAGTGAGTGCCTCCTCCTCCAAGTCAGTGCTTGACTGTGTCACAATAAGTATTCCTGCTTTCTTGTCCTAAGTAACCTACTACTTCTCACATAGAGTCAGGTACAACACTCTCTTCTGTCTAAAGTGTACAACTAGACTAGGCTGTACCCTGGTTGGGGTTAGAAATATTGCAGTGGTTCAGCTGATTCGCCTCCGGAGTTGGGTAGGGAGGTTGCTGAAGCTCCCATAACATTGGCTCAACATTGACAAATGGTTTAGGAACCCTTCAGAAATACCCAACCCAAATGACTGCTGGGGGACAATGATTCCTCTAACTAGTGTTTTCAACCAAACCCTCAACCCCTTGGTTTCCCATCATTATGTGAACTCGTACTTGAGATCCTTTTTACCCCTTAGACCTGCGTGACCCTTTTTCTGCTTGTTCTGCCCCTTACCTGTCTGCCCCTTGCTTATCCGCCCCTTGCCTATCCGCCCCTTGCCTGTCCGCCCCTTGCCTATCCGCCCCTTGCCTATCCGCCCCTTGCCTATCCGCCCCTTGCCTGTCCGCCCCTTGCCTATCCGCCCCTTGCCTGTCCGCCCCTTGCCTATCCGCCCCTTGCCTATCCGCCCCTTGCCTATCTGCCCCGTGCCCATGTGTTTTCCGGCAGAGCAAGGATGGGCTTCCTCTGTGTGCCCATGGATGCTCGCCTGCCGCTGGTGAGTGTTGCTGCGTACGAGAGTCCTAACAGCGTCAGGAAGAGCTGTGTTGGAAATCAAGTGTACATGGTAGTGAGAAGGAGAGGGGGGTTGGTTTGGCCAACCGTATTGACCTCAATAAATATGCTCGGTTGAACAGCTATCGAGGGTCCCAAACATCTTGGTCAAAGATCACTAGCGGCCCACTAATCCGCAAGGAACTTTGTGGGTCAGATAATTGAATCAAGGGAAGAATACATTCCCAACCCAACCCCAACAAGGATACAACCAGTTTTGGTGCTTAATTCTACCCAAGGTTAGTAATTTTTTTTAGGATACAAAAATGAGTGTGTTTTCAAAATAACACCTTAGGTTACAAAGAGCTAGAAGGCTTTGGTGGGAGAAAGAGGAAACACCTGAATCAACAGTATGGAGGGCAAGCCCCAAGAACGCTTTTGAGTCGACTCAAAACCTGAATCAACAGTATGGAGGGCAAGCCCCAAGAACGCTTTTGAGTCGACTCAAAACCTGAATCAACAGTATGGAGGGCAAGCCCCAAGAACCAAAAACGGCAGTGTGATGTGAACAGAGCGACAAGGGGCATCGGTGAAAGTGTAGGCTGGATACGATGATAGGCATCGGAGGAGGAGTTGATCTTGCAAACGATGATATGGCCAACCTGAATGAGGTCACTGCCGCTTGAGGCGCCTCATAAGTTCTGTACGAGGCTGTGGACGAAGTAGTGGCAGACAGACAGAGGTTGATGGGCTTGTACCGGCCATGGAAGGCAGCTCTTTTGATGCAGTGAATGGTGCTGGCGTTGTCACGCGCACCAGAGGGTGGGACAGGACGGTGGATGGAGGAGGCTTGTGCAACGAAACTCGTTCACGTATCGACTCTACTACCTACTTTCCTTCCCTTCCCCCCTCACCTTTTCCACACTCACTCCTCTTTTAGTTCCTCCTCACCTCTCAGGCTATTGACCCCATTTACCGCTCGTCTCTCTCCTCCTCCTCTCTTTTTTTCTGGCGCCCTGCCTCCACCACCTCATCAGCCTCCCCTGCTCCCTTCCTCCAGGCGCTTACCCGCTTAACTCCTCTCCTCTGTTCCACTTCGCATCCATTGCGCCTCCCCCTCCCCCTCCCCCCGCCGTTCCCCCTCCCCCTCCCCCTCTGCCTCCCCCTCCTCCCCCACCGCCGTCCCCCCCCCCCTTTCCTCAACACCGTCCTCCCCCCCAGATGTTCCTGCGCACCACTCAGGCGGACCGCCTTCGTGCCACCCGCTTTGTCGTGCGCCTGGCAGGTGAGGGGGGGGGGTGGGGAGGGGATCAGGGGTGGGAAGATGGTATGGGAGGGTGGGAGGGGGGGACGGGAGGGGAGGACGAGGGAAGGTTTGCAAGTGAGGAAAGGAGGGGAGGAGATGAGGTGAGTGTGAGAGGTGAGGGTGGGAGAAGAGTTGTTCCACGTACTACTGAAGCTGCCTCCACTGCAAGGCAGGGCAGGAGGTGAGAATTGGTGAAATTTGGTGAGGTTGTGTGGGATTTGATGAGCTTTGGAGAGGTACAGCACATTGCATTAGCATACCATTATTCTCCGCCATTCTTCAGCATGGCTCCCTGTGCCATCACCCCACCCTTTCCTCTAGCACACTTCCCCTACACCCGCTCCTCTACGAGCGCCACCCAGAACTTGTGCCGTGCTTCGCATGGTGACCATGGTCTTGATAAACCCTCTCCTTTCCCTTCCCATCCCTTCTACTCCCTTGCTTCCCCCTTACTCCTCCCCCGCTCCTCTCCCCCCAGCGTGGGACCGCTACTCACGCCACCCAGACGTGTACCTGGTGAGGACGCTTGGGCCAATGGGAGCCCTCCACGTGGAGCAGGCAGTGCTGCTGGACGACATGGGGCTTGCCTTCCCGCCCTTCGGTGACGGGTGGGTGATTGAGGGGACTTGAGCGTGGGTGGGTGGGCGGGTTACAAGATAAGGGTGGGTAGATAGCTGCAAGCTCTGATCACCGACTAGTAAGTTATTCAAAAGGGAAACTAATGATTGATCTAGGCTTGTTAAGAGCATGTATAGGTAACCGTTGTAAGCTACGGGTGGGTGGGCGGGCTACAAGCTACGGGTGGTAGATAGCTGCAAGCTCTGATCTCCACTGATCACCGACTAGTAAGTAATCCAAAAGGGAAACTGATGATTGATCTAGGCTAGTTGAGAGCATGTATAAGTAACCGTAGTCATTTTAAAATGGTAGCTTACACACAGTTTAAAGCATACGCGTGTTTCGGCTGTTAGGCCTTCATCGGTGTTCCAAATCTGCAGTGGCTAGCTAGGTAGGTAATGTGCAGGTTTAGTAGGATTCGAAACGCCAATGAAGGCATAACAGTTGAAATGCGCGTACGCTCTGAACTGCTTGTTGGCTATCGTTTGAATATTACAACTGTTACTTTTGGCGACGGATGGTTGGATTAAGGGGACTTGATGTGTGGGTGGTGGATGGGTGGGTGGATGGGCATGGGTGGGTGGGTGCTTGTGTGGGTGGAGGGATGGTTGGATGAGTGCATGTGTCTCTGTGTCTTGTGTGTGAGGCACTCCTCTCCCACCTCGCCTCTCTCGCCTCGCTTTTCCATTCACATTCTTTCTAATCTCTCCTCTTGCCCACCACTCGCTCCGCACACCCTGCTTGCCAGAGCCCTGCAGATAGCCCAGTATGAGCTCTGTGGATACATACTACCAGAGATCCCCCCACCAGCGCCACGTAGCACCACCAGTGTGCCTCCACCCACCCTGATACCTCTCCACCCACCCTGATACCTCTCCACCCACCCTGATACCTCTCCACCTATCATGTCACTGTATTCTGGCCACCCTCACTCACCCGCCACCCTCACTCAACCGCCACCCCCCTACTACCAGCGCTCTGCAGGAGATCCCTCAACCAGCGGCAGGGGCGGCAGCAGAGGGCGGGGAGGGGGAGTGGCAGGTGCCTGAGGAGGAGATAGCCAGGCGCAGGGACTTGCGGGATGGAGCGCACTTTATGTGCAGGTGAGAAGGTGAGGGAGGTGAGGGGGCGAGGGGGCGGGGAGTGGAGTGCTTTTCGTGTTGTTTTGTGCTCTCTTCCCTCCCTTCCCTCCCCTTCTCCAATTTTCCCCAACTTGTGTGATTACCTTTCTCTGCATTGATGCCCTCCTCCTCTCTCTCCACCTCCCCCCTTCCCACTTCCGTCCTCCTTAGCATCGACCCCCCTGGTAGCAGGGATGTGGATGATGTGCTCTCCACTGCTCACCTTCCCAACGGCCTCATTCAGGTGAGTCTATTCCAGGTGTTTCTTCAGGTAGGTCAGTTTCAGGTGTTTCCCAGATTCTACTGGTGGGACTCCCTGCCGGAGATGTTTCGTTTCGTTGGATCCTTCCTTCCTGCTTCCACATCCCACAGCACCACGTGCATTGAGTTGAACTTGGAGGCGCCTCAGAATACATCCCGCAGCACCACAGTGCAAAGCAAAGGCACCGCTGCACTGCAGTTGAACTTGAGCATGCGGCATCAACAACAGAGCAGGCGCTGAGTTGATGCACGTGCTCGTTTCCCTGTCTCCCCTGCACATCCAAACCCCCAGGTGGGAGTGCACATAGCAGACGTCGCGTTCTTCGTGCGCCCGGGTAGTCTATTGGATGCAGAGGCGAGGGCGAGGGGCACATCCGTGTACCTGGCCAACCAGCGCAGCAACATGCTACCAGAGGCGCTCAGGTGAGCAACATGCTGCCAGAGGCGCTCAGGTGAGCAACATGCTGCCAGAGGCGCTCAGGTGAGCAACATGCTGCCAGAGGCGCTCAGGTGAGCAACATGCTGCCAGAGGCGCTCAGGTGAGCAACATGCTGCCAGAGGCGCTCAGGTGAGCAACATGCTGCCAGAGGCGCTCAGGTGAGCAACATGCTGCCAGAGGCGCTCAGGTGAGCAACATGCTGCCAGAGGCGCTCAGGTGAGCAACATGCTGCCAGAGGCGCTCAGGTGAGCAACATGCTGCCAGAGGCGCTCAGGTGAGCAACATGCTGCCAGAGGCGCTCAGGTGAGCAACATGCTGCCAGAGGCGCTCAGGTGAGCAACATGCTGCCAGAGGCGCTCAGGTGAGCAACATGCTGCCAGAGGCGCTCAGGTGAGCAACATGCTGCCAGAGGCGCTCAGGTGAGCAACATGCTGCCACATGGCATCATCAATTCAATCTCTATTTTCTTCCCTCACCCCTTTCCACCACCATGCTGGAGTAGGCTAGTTTTCGCTCTGTACTTTATTCTGGTCTTGCAATATTTTTTTCGGCCAGAATTGGCCTTGGTTTCATTTCAGAATCAGTATAGGTTTGTTTTAAACGTTTTTTTCCTATACTGAACATGCCCTAGGTTCAGTTGGGGTTTCACCCCAACCAACCCCATATCGTTGTACGATCATCTTCTCAATGAAAACTTTTTCGTTGCCCTCCGCTCCACTCCCCTCCTCTCTCCTCACTGCAGCGAGGGTCTCTGTTCCCTACTGGGAGGACGCACGCGGCTGGCAGTGAGTGTCATCTGGACGCTCGACCCCTCCTTTCCCTTGCCCTCCACTCCCCTTCCCACGTCTCCCCTCCCCTTCCCACGTCTCCCCTCCCCTTGTCATCCACCAGCGAGGGTCTCTGCTCATTGCTGGGCGGCCGCACGCGGCTGGCAGTGAGTGTCATCTGGACGCTCGACCCCTCCTTTCCCTTGCCCTCCACTCCCCTTCCCACGTCTCCCCTCCCCTTGTCATCCACCAGCGAGGGTCTCTGCTCATTGCTGGGCGGCCGCACGCGGCTGGCAGTGAGTGTCATCTGGACGCTCGACCCCTCCTTTCCCTTGCCCTCCACTCCCCTTCCCACGTCTCCCCTCCCCTTGTCATCCACCAGCGAGGGTCTCTGCTCATTGCTGGGCGGCCGCACGCGGCTGGCAGTGAGTGTCATCTGGACGCTCGACCCCTCCTTTCCCTTGCCCTCCACTCCCCTTCCCACGTCTCCCCTCCCCTTGTCATCCACCAGCGAGGGTCTCTGCTCATTGCTGGGCGGCCGCACGCGGCTGGCAGTGAGTGTCATCTGGACGCTCGACCCCTCCTTTCCCTTGCCCTCCACTCCCCTTCCCACGTCTCCCCTCCCCTTGTCATCCACCAGCGAGGGTCTCTGCTCATTGCTGGGCGGCCGCACGCGGCTGGCAGTGAGTGTCATCTGGACGCTCGACCCCTCCTTTCCCTTGCCCTCCACTCCCCTTCCCACGTCTCCCCTCCCCTTGTCATCCACCAGCGAGGGTCTCTGCTCATTGCTGGGCGGCCGCACGCGGCTGGCAGTGAGTGTCATCTGGACGCTCGACCCCTCCTTTCCCTTGCCCTCCACTCCCCTTCCCACGTCTCCCCTCCCCTTGTCATCCACCAGCGAGGGTCTCTGCTCATTGCTGGGCGGCCGCACGCGGCTGGCAGTGAGTGTCATCTGGACGCTCGACCCCTCCTTTCCCTTGCCCTCCACTCCCCTTCCCACGTCTCCCCTCCCCCTGTCATCCACCAGCGAGGGTCTCTGCTCATTGCTGGGCGGCCGCACGCGGCTGGCAGTGAGTGTCATCTGGACGCTCGACCCCTCCTTTCCCTTGCCCTCCACTCCCCTTCCCACGTCTCCCCTCCCCTTGTCATCCACCAGCGAGGGTCTCTGCTCATTGCTGGGCGGCCGCACGCGGCTGGCAGTGAGTGTCATCTGGACGCTCGACCCCTCCTTTCCCTTGCCCTCCACTCCCCTTCCCACGTCTCCCCTCCCCTTGTCATCCACCAGCGAGGGTCTCTGCTCATTGCTGGGCGGCCGCACGCGGCTGGCAGTGAGTGTCATCTGGACGCTCGACCCCTCCTTTCCCTTGCCCTCCACTCCCCTTCCCACGTCTCCCCTCCCCCTGTCATCCACCAGCGAGGGTCTCTGCTCATTGCTGGGCGGCCGCACGCGGCTGGCAGTGAGCGTCATCTGGACGCTCAACCCCTCCCACCACTTCGCACTCGTGGGGCCGCCTTGGTTCGGCCGAACCGTCATCCGATCCAACCACCAGGTGACCAGTGCTGTGGAAATGGAATTGCAGTGATGATCGAAATCACCTCATGTGCTTCGTTGTCGGCATTCCACGCTCTTGACTCTCCTCTCGTGTACCAACTCTTGTTTCTTTTCTCCGTTGTGCCATGCTCTTCACCTATGTTCTCATTGCTCTGCTTGCTTGTCTTGATCTCCCCCTCACCCGTCCCTATGGTCCCCACACATCCCATCCTCCTTCCTTCCACTCTCACCCTTCCCATCTGCAAATCTCTCATACATTGCTGTAGAAGCAACAACACCCTAGACAGCACACACGTCTCCCCCATCCTGCTCCTCCTCCTTTCCCATCCTCCCTCTCACCCCTTCCTCCCCCCCCCCACTGCTCTGGTATGCACAAGCACAGGCAACACCACAGCAGGCGGAGTGCATCCACTGCTGGAGGAGCATGGCCTGGCAGGCGGGGGGAAACACATCACACCCACACTCCCCTCACCCGTCTCCCCATCCCCCCCTCTGGCAGCTCTCGTACGCCCAGGCCATATCAGATGGAGTCATCCACTGCTGTATGAACATCGCCTGGCAGACGAGGCGAGTGAAAGAGGGAGCAGACACACAGTTACCCACTCAACCCTCCTCTTCCACCCCCCCTCCCACCCCCCTCTCCCCTCGCAGCTCTCGTACGTGCAGACACAGGCCATAGCACACGGAGTGCATCCGTTGCCAGCGGAAGTGGCACAGCACACTCCGTTCTCCCCTCGTGCTCCTCTCCCTCTCTTCCTCTCCTCTCTCACAGCTCTCGTATGCCCAGGCACAGGCCATAGCAGGCGGAGTGCACCTGCTGCCAGCGGAACACCGCCTGGCGGAGGGTTGAGAGAGGTGGCGCACAGCACACTCATGCTCCATCCTCTCCCCTCTTCCCTCCCCCACTTCCATCCCCCCGCCCCTGCCCCGCTGCACAGCTCTCATACGCACAAGCACAGGCCATAGCAGACGGAGTGCACCCGTTGCCAGCGGAGCACCAACTGGCAGGCGGGCAGAGGGAGGTGGCGCGAGCCAAGACGTGCATCGCCACTCTTACTGCTTTTGCTCGGGTCAGTACTGAAACCTACTGTCAAGGGGCATGTGGCGCTGGTTGGCTGGCTGGGTTGAGAGGCAAGGTTGAGCGCCCTCAAGGCTAACAACGCCCTCAAGGCTAACAACACCTTCAAGGCTAACAACGCCCTCAGGGCTAACAACGCCCTCAGGGCTAACAACGCCCTCAGGGCTAGCCTGAGTTGCAGGAGGAAGAAGTGATGGAGCTCAGAGGAAGGATGCTTACAGAGAATGGGAGGAGGTGTGAGGCAGAGCGGGCTGCAGAAGCGGTGAAAATAGAGCTTCGGGAAGCGGGTGCCGCAACTGCGGCCCTGGCTCGGGAGAAGCCCGCGTTGGAAGAGCAGCTTCGGGAGATGCAGAGTCGGGAGGAGCTGGTTGAAGAGGAGAGGAGGGAGCTGGAAGAGGGTCTGAGGTGGGAGAATGTTTCCCTCTTCCAGCTCCCTCCTCTCCTCTTTACCCCGCTCCTCCAGATTCTGCATCTCCCGAAGCTGCTCTTCCAACGCAGCCTTCTCCCAAGCCAGGGCCCCAGCTGCGGCACCTGCTTTCCGAAGCTCTATTTTCACTGCTTCCGCCACTCGCCCTGCCTCACACCTCCTCCCCTACTCTGTAAGCAACCTTCCTCTGAGCTGCACTTGAGTTCTTTTCCCACATCATTTGTATGGCTTCCTCCCTCCCCCCATCATCTGGCTACTTGCCTTCTCCCCTCCATTACTGGACTCACTCAGTTGCAGGAGCTGAGCGGCAGGGGCAGCTGGCGGGGGCGCTGGAGCTGGCGAGTGCAAAGCAGAGCTCTGTGCCCTCCTTGCCTGGCTCTCTCTTCTTTCCTCCCCCCTTCTCATTGCTGATCCCAGGAGCTGCGGCGGCAGAGGCAGAGGGCGGGGGCGCTGGAGCTGGCGAGTGCGGCGCTGAGCTCTGTTCCCTCCCTTCTTACATGACCCCCTGCCCCCGCTACTCATCGAATCAATCTCAGGAGCTGCGGCGGCAGAGGCAGAGGGCGGGGGCGCTGGAGCTGGCGAGTGCGGCGCTGAGCTCTGTTCCCTCCCTTCTTACATGACCCCCTGCCCCCGCTACTCATCGAATCAATCCCAGGAGCTGCGGCGGCAGAGGCAGAGGGCGGGGGCGCTGGAGCTGGCGAGTGCGGAGCTGCGGTTCGAATTTGATGAGAGCAGAGGGACGCCCACACGAGTGTTTTGCAAACAGGAGATCCCGGTGGGTGGCTTGGTGTTGGTGAGTGAGTGTGAGGGGACACGGTGGTGAGAAGGCGGGTGCGCTGGGGCTTGCAGTGAAAGCTGTGGTTTGAGTTTGGTGAAAACAGAGGGGCGCCCCAACGAGTGTTCTGCAAGCAGGAGATCCCGGTGGGGTGGGCTGGGCTGGTGAGGAAGGGGAGGCGGTGGTGCGAGTGTGGGTGCGCTGGGGCTTGCCGTGAGAGCTGCGATTTGAGTTGGACGAGAGCACAGGGACGCCCAGGAGAGTGTTCTGCAAGCAGGAGATTCCGGTTAGTGACAGCCGGGATCGTGGTGAGGGGGGGGGGTACAGTTAGACTCGATATTGTTGGAGAACCACCTCATCCTTGCAACCTGCTCTTCCTCTTGTCACTCCCTTGCCTTCCTTCTCATTACGTGGTTGAAAGAGTTTCCTCCCTCACCCCGTAGGTCCTCCCATAGTAGAGTGCCACCGGATGCTAGATCTGAGGTAACAGCTTTCCACTAATATGAGAGAATAACAGGAGAAAAGCAACGAGAGGGTGTTTGGTACTGAATTTACCTGAACCTGGCTCAGTCGCACACTTCTCGATGTGCGCCTCGAGCCAGGCCCAGTTGCTTCAGATTGGCTCGCTAGATTCCCACCCCTCGATGTTTCCTCTAACCCTTCCCAACAACTTCGCCTCAACCCCCCATACTCCCCAGCAACTCACCCACAAATTGTAATCATACAAAGACTACACCTGAACCTACACTTGCATCTACACCCGCGCACCAACTGTTATCGCATATGCACGAAGTGCATATTCGGTGACAATATCACCTCCAGTTTGACAAGTGCAGAGGCGCAGCCAAAAAGGTGTTCTGGAAGTAGTGAGAAGGGTTGGTGGTGAAAGGGAGGTTGTGCTCGGTTCTAAAAATCCACAAAACCGATCTACTGCATGCTAGGCTCGCCAGTGCCTCCTTCCACTTCCACTCGCTTGCAACTCTCCTCCCTGTTGTTGTACCACACACCCCCTTCGTCCTCCCTGTTGTTGTACCACACACCCCCTTCGTCCTCCCTGTTGTTGTACCACACACCCCCTTCGTCCTCCCTGTTGTTGTACCACACACCCCCTTCGTCCTCCCTGTTGTTGTACCACACACCCCCTTCGTCCTCCCTGTTGTTGTACCACACACCCCCTTTGTCCTCCCGGAACGGAATGCACGGCCTCCCCTCCCCCCTGCGGTGCATCACATGCTGCTTGCCAACACTGCGGTTCTGAACGTCCCCCCTGAACGTCCCCCCTCTGGTGGCAGATCTCACACTGCTCGCCAACACCGTCCCTCACTCCTATGCAATCCTCCTCCCTCACTCTCCAGCACTCTCTCCCTCACCTCTCCATGTCCGCTGCCGGCCATCAGATCGACGCGGTGGTGTTGAGAGGGTGTTTTTGAGACGTCTCAATGAATTTTGAGTCGACTCGAAAGACGTCTCAAAAACATCCTCCCTGTCTGCTGTTGGCCATCAGATGGATGTGGTGGTGGCAGAGCTCTTGGTGCCGTGCCCTCCAATGCTGCTGTATCCCGTGCGATTCTCCTTCCTCATTCGCCAGTGCCCCTCCTCCTTCTCCACTCCCCCCTGCCCTGTGCCCACCATCAGATGAATGCGGTGGTGGCGGAGCTCATGGTGCTGGCCAATGCTGCCGTCGCCTGCAAGCTCACCCGGTGAGAACCCCAACCTGCACGCACACAACAGATTTTCTGGCACACCCAACCCACCACATAGCCCTCCAAAATGCACACGGCCCACAATCACACGGCCCACAATCACACGGCCCACAATCACATGGCAGCTTTTGGCACCTTCTTTCTGTCACTGTTGCATGCTCGTACCCTGTCTTACGCTGCAATTCGATTGCACTTTCGTTCCTTCTTCTTTCCCCACCCCCATCATGGTTTGTTGGAACGGAGGCAGGGCCTTCCCATCGACCGCCTTTCTGCGGCGCCACGCTCCTCCTCGCCCAAACGGCTTCCGCCATCTCATGCATGTGAGGGTGGTGATGGGTGGGGTGAAGAAGGTGTTCGTGCTGTGCTGTGTGATGCATGTGGATGGTGGTGGGGTGAATGTAGTGTGCGTGAGAGCTAAGGGTGCCATCTCATGCATGTGAAGGTGGTGGGGTCAAGCGGGTGCGCGTGTTGTGTGATGCATGTGGATGATGGTGGGGTGAACAAGGTCTGAGTGCTGTGTCATGTATGTGGTTGATATGGCGTGACGGCAGCATGGCATGCAGATCACCTGCTAACAAGCATCTATATAAGCCTCTGTAAACTCTACAGTGGTTTCATGTGTGTGGATGCCCTGTGTTGCACCTCTTTCTTCTATTCTTGTCTCTGTGTGCCCTCTTCTCAGTGCTGCACGGTGCGAGGCATTGCACTCGAAACGTCAACAAACAAGGTGAGCATTCATCCAGGGCGCATGGAGCAACTGAATGTTCAACCTTTCACATCGTTTCTTCCCAAGGAGTCATGCAAGCAATCATACTAGCTTGGAATGTTTTCTACTCCCCATGCTCATCGTGCTTGCCTCCCCTTCCCTTCACTACTCTACTCTCCTTTTTATGTCCTCTCCTCTCCTTTTCCTGTCCTCTCCTCTCCTTTTCCTGTCCTCTCCTCTCCTCTCCTCTCCTCTCCTCTCCTCTCCTCTCCTCTCCTCTCCTCTCCTCTCCTCTCCTCTCCTCTCCTTCCCTCCCCTCCCCTCCCCTTCCGTAACTTCTCCTCCCCTCCCCTGCCCCCCCTTCTTCTGAGCAATAAACCATAATCATCACTCCCTATCGCCCTCCCAACAGGTGCTAGCAGCGTCGCTGGCAGCAGTGAAGCACCTGGGAGACTCCGTCCTGGATGTGAGCTCCACACCAAACCCTCCGTTGAAGTCAACTCATGAAGCTCCTTCTCTAACTCCCCTTCCGCTTGCTGCTACCTTGGATGCTCTTGATGGGCTCCCTCTTCAATTTTTCCGAACTCTTAAAACGAAAAAATCCCCGAACTTGATGCTCATTCTCCCGTTGTGGTCCCCTGCTGCCGTGCGTTACATTTGTCTTACCCTATTCGCACATGCCCCTTTCGCACATGTCTCCTGCGTATCTTCCTGTCTCTTCCGCGCCATCATCTCATGTGGCTGTTGCTGCAGTACGGGCTCAAGGCTCTCAGCACGCGTGCACTCTCAGAGGTGAGGCATGCAGATGAGACATGGAGAGGTCAGAGGAACACTGGGGACTTACAATGAGATGTGATGGTACCATGGGAATGGGAAACATGCCATGATCATGCACGCTTGCATCTTCATTCCTTTCCTTTGCGGATGCTCACATCTTGCAACCTTGCAACCCTGAACATGGGTGATTTGGTCTATAATTCTCTGACCACCTACACTGCAGCACGTGATCCCACATGTCACTTCTTGCACACATTTGACTCTGATCTGCTGTGCGTTTCTCACTCTCCCTGCATGTGCATGTGACCATTTGCATTGACCTGCATGCGTTCACATCCCCATGCCATCCCCATGCCATCCCCATGCCATCCCCATGCCATCCCCATGCCATCCCCATGCCATCCCCATGCCATCCCCATGCCATCCCCATGCCATCCCCATGCCATCCCCATGCCATCCCCATGCCATCCCCATGCCATCCCCATGCCATCCCCATGCCATCACCATGCCATCCCCATGCCATCCCCATGCCATCCACATGCACATGCACATCAGGCGGAGTACCTACCAGCATCATCGGCAGCAGCGGACGGCATCGGGGCATATCACTACGGCCTCGCAGTGGAGTGAGTAGCATGTGTCGAGGTCACTATACTTAGTGTGTGGCAGGATCAACTCAAAAGTGCTGATTATCCAGTTGGGCAAAAGAAGTACCTGGCAGCAGGGCAGTGGAGTGCGTGCACTCGCCCTTTAGAGTCGACTCACGAGTTACCTCGTTACAGTGCAATAGTGTCAGGCGGAGAGTATCTGCCAGCAGCAGCAGCAGCAGCAGCAGCAGCAGCGGACAGCGTCAGGACCTCTTGCTGGGCCCTCGAATTGGTGTGAGTGAGTGGCATGTGCACTCACTCTTATAGAAGTACCTGTTAAGAAGTGCAGAAGCGTCCTCCTTGCCCACCCTCCGGTCCCCCAGCCTTGACTGCCACTTCACCTCGCCCATTCTTCGCTATGGTGAATGGGAATGAGCTGAGAGCAGGTCAGAGCACTTCACTCAGAGCAGCAGTTGTGGAATGATCTCCAGCAGCAGCAGCAGCAGCAGCAGCAGCTCTGAGTTCATACAACCCTCCTTGTGGGGCCCCTCAAATGTCGTCTCTACACCCGCAAATTTGAGGCGCCTCAAAAGGCACTTCACTCAGCAGCTGCTCAATGAACCCAGCAGCACCGCTGCATTCACTTCATAAACTCTCTCTCCTGCTTCCCTCTCCCGTCCTTCTCTCTCCCCTTGCCTCTCTGCAGCCTCTACTCCCACTTCACCTCCCCAATCTGCCGCCGATATGCTGACCTGCTGCTGCTGGTGCATCGGCAGCTGCTGGCGGCCCTGAGTTGATTCACCTTTCCTTTTTTGTTCCCTCTTCCCTCCCCTCCTTCCCCTCGTCTTTCCCATCCTTCCCCCTTCCACAACCACTTCATCCACCCTCCCTCCCTCCAGCCTCTACTCCCACTTCACCTCGCCCATTCGCCGCTATGCTGATCTGCTCGTGCACCGGCAGCTGCTGGCAGCACTGCAGCAAGAGAAGCGGGATCGTGGGGAGGCGGGCGGGAAGCAGGGAGGGAGAGGTACTGTCCAGGGGGCGGATGGGAAGGGGGCGACTGTTGAAGAGGGAAACGGGGATGGAGGGAGGGGACAGGGCGGAGCAGGGGAAGGGGGGGCAGAAAAAGGAGGGCGGTCGGGTGGGGGAGGAGGTGGGAGGAGGAAGGCGTGGGGTGCTGCAGCCAGAGTGTGGGGAGGGAAGGGAGTGAGGGAGGAGGAGGGAGTGGGGGCGGGGGTGGGGGCGGGGGTGGGGGCGGGGGTGGGGGTAGGGGAGGGGGATGCAGCGGAAGGGAGGGAGGGCAGAGCTGAGCAAAATAAAGTGGGGGTTGAGGGCGAGGAGGGAGACGGAAGGAGGGAGGAGACGGTGGAGCGAGAGTCACGAGGCGTTGACTGGGACAAGGTGAGGACATAAAAAAGGCAAAAAAATAACACAACAAAATGTCAAAATAACAAACCAACAAAACTGTAACTGAAACAAAAAAGAAAGCAAACGACCAATCCACAAACCACAAAGGAGAACGATGCACACAAAAAGAGGAAGCAACGCAGGTGTGTCACTCATATCCCACCTGGCTAGCTCCTCCCGCAGCCTTTCCCCGCTGAGCCCACATGCAGTACTCAAGTAAGCGCAAGCGAGCACAAGCACAGGCGTACTCTCGTACCATGGTGTGGTGCCATGCACAGGCGTACTCTCGTACCATGGTGTGGTGCCATGCACAGGCGTACTCTCGTACCATGGTGTGGTGCCATGCACAGGCGTACTCTCGTACCATGGTGTGGTGCCATGCACAGGCGTACTCTCGTACCATGGTGTGGTGCCATGCACAGGCGTACTCTCGTACCATGGTGTGGTGCCATGCACAGGCGTACTCTCGTACCATGGTGTGGTGCCATGCACAGGCGTACTCTCGTACCATGGTGTGGTGCCATGCACAGGCGTACTCTCGTACCATGGTGTGGTGCCATGCACAGGCGTGCAACCCCCTCGATAGCTCCCCTCTCCCTTATTTCCTCCGCCACACCTGCTCGCTGTACACCATCTCACACAGCATTTCCTGTGATCTCGGCTCCGTCCCTCTTCTTCCCTCCTTCCCCTCTCCTTCCCTTACCCCCCCCCCCCCAACAGATAGCGGCCCATCTGAACAAGCAGCACTGCCTGGCAAAGCCTAGCATCAAAGGGGAACGCGGAGCTCTGTCTCCTGCTGCCTGTGCTGACTCATATCCCCTTCTCTCTTTCTCTTGCATCCTCCCCTTTCCCACTCTCTTTCTCGCCCCCCCCATTCCCACAGCTAGCGGCGCATCTGAACAAGCAGCACCGGCTGGCAAAGATGGCGTCAAAGAGAAGCTCCGAGCTCTGCCTGCTGCTGCTGCTGCGGGATCAGCCCTTGGTGGAGCGCGCTGTGGTGAGCAGAAGGGGGTGGGGGGGTAGGTTTCTTGGGGGGGCGAGGGGAGGAGGAAGAGGGGGATTTTCACTGCCAGCCGCTGCTGCTGCTGCTGCTGCGGGATCAGCCCTTGGTGGAGCGCACTGTGGTGAGGAAGGGGGCGAGGAGCATGGGAGGGGTGGTTGGTGTGGGGGAGGCAAGGGGTTGGCTTTGCTGCCATCTTCTGCTGAAGGAGGAGATTTGGTGGAGTGGGTTGTGGGGAGGAGGAGCATGGCGAGGGAGCAAGGGGAGGGGTGAATTGAAGCGATGGGTGATCCGCCACGGGAGGTGTTCCACGCCTTGAGCCGAGCCATCGAGGTTACGACCAGTTTGGTGCTCTACGCTGGTGCCCCTGTCTGTTGAGAATACCATCGCACAGTGTTTGCAATCCCTGAATTCGCTCATTTGTTTTACGCCTCTTCAACCCCCCTCCTCCTTCCCAACGTCTCCCCTCCCACCTCTCCCCCTCACCTCTCCGTCCTCCTCTCCTCCCCCACTGCGCATTCCCCCTGCCTTCACACCTGCACCCCTGCGCATCCCCCTTGCCTCCCTGCCTGCCTCGTCCCCACACCCACTCAGGTGGTCTCCATTCACAATGGCTATGTGACTCTCTTCGTGCCTCGCCTTGATGTGCAAGGCCAGGTGCTCTTTCAGGTGAGGCCAGGTGTCCTTTCAGGTGAGGTTGAACCAGGTGCTCTTTCAGAAATGGTCATTTGCCGATTCAGATGTGTTGTGGAAGCAAGAATGTCCCAGTGGGTACCTTTGGTCTTAGTGGTCGCGGGTTCAACTCTCATCGGCAGCACCTTCTCTTCTCATTATGCCGAACATGACACTCCCACACTCCACCACACTCACCCACAGTGAAGTGTGGTCACAGTTGGCATTGCCATCTGTCCACCCATCCCATACTCACCTTGTTGGCTCCTATGGTGTGCCACATGCTGCCATGTAGGCTGTTGTTCCAGCCTGGCCCACATGTGCAACATGTGGCCTCAATTGCTAGCTTGGCAAGGTTGGCTAGCCCTGCCCTCAGCTTTGAGGTGCTGCAGCTAGCTTCAAGAGTTCAGCCACATAAATGTGGCTTCCCACTTCTCTAGAACTCATCCTTGGAAAGGACATTGCTCTAGCCTTTCAGGCTTGTACCATCTTCCTACTAAGGATATATTGTTCTTCTCTCATTGTGCCTCAAGTTCACCGATCCTCATTCTACATGCTATCAGAGCAAGGCTTCTAGCTTAGTGAACGTTGCACACTTCATGGCTCAAGTTGAAACGCCTCTCGGTCGGCACACCCTTCCCATCTTGGAACCAGATGGTTCCAACTTCATTCCATGGAAGAAAAAGATCTGCTACATCTTCAATGTCCTCGGGCTGATCTCCCTCCTTGGAGATCCCAAGGTTGCTTCGCGTCCTTCAATCTCCTCTTCCACAACCAGCGGTGGAGAGACTACCGAAGGCAACAGCGGTGCAGCCCCTAAGACAGCCCATTCGATTGCTTCGCTGCCGGATGAAGAAAAAGAGGAGCATGCATACTATCTTCTCATGTCAGCCGTCCATCCTCAACTATCGCTCACTCTTGCTCAAGCCAACACGACAAAGGATATGTGGGGATGCATCATGGCGCGGTTCGACTGCATGGGCAACCATGCACAAGTGGCTCTCCTCCGGGATCTCATCACTACACGGATGGACCCAACAACAAGTCTTCGCTCCTACTTTGATCGAGTTGGAAACCTTACACACCAACTCAAATCTGCCGGCTTTGAGCTACCATCATGGGTGGTGGTAATCTCCATCATCCTCAACCTTCCGGACTCGTTCAAGACCCTTACTGAAACCATTTGCACCGTGAAAGACATAAAGTCTATGACGGTTGAATACCTACAGTCACGCCTACTCGATGCCGATTGGGAGCGGTCACAATCTGGTACAAGCCGTAACATGGAGGGTGCATACAACCTCAATTCCCAGCCCTCCCACCCTCTTCGCTCCGGTTCACGCCAGTCGCCCACCTGCCGTTACTGCAAGAAAACAGGTCACACCATCGATGAATGCTTCAAATTGAAGAAGAAGAAAGAGCTTGAAGAATGCTCTAAACGGGAGAAATCCGTCTTCCAACCCTCGGTGCATGTCTCCACCAGCTCCTCTGCTGAAGCTACTCCGACCCCCACACCACCTCCTGCCCCATCAACCCCTCAGTCCGTACCTGATTCCCGGTACGTGGACATTGCTGTCAGCACCAGCCACCACCCCATCTTCTCCACATGGACTCCTCTCGTCGCTGCTGTCTTCATTCTCACCATCCTCCTTCTCCTCCTCCTCTTCCCTTATGGGGCTCCCTACGCATCGGCATTCACGGCCTCCTCATTCAATATGGAGCGGACTTCGTCGTGGCTGGTGGACAGCGGCGCATCCTCCCATATCTGCTCGGATCGTTCGCTGTTTTCGTCTCTCAAGAAGCCCAACGAAGAGATCCTTGTTCGTTTTGGTGGAGGAGAGACTTACAAGGTCTTGGGAGTCGGCACGGTGGTGGCTACTCTTCGGTCACCAACATCGGAAACCACCATTCAGCTTGACAACGTTCTATTTCTCCCTTCATCAGTTCACAACCTGCTCTCTGTTCGTGCGCTTGGTGCTGCCGGCGTTGCCGTCTCGTTCCCCGCTGCTGGGCGCGTTGCTCTCACATCTGATGACGTTCCTATTGGCGAGGGCTACACCCGCAACAATCTGTTTTATCTTCAACTGCATCATGGGAGCAGTGCTGCTCCTTCTATCAAGCCAACTGCATGTCCAGCCTCCACCACCACCTCCTCGTACCTCTGGCATCGTCGTTTCGGGCATCTCAACATGCAGGCCTTGTCAACACTTCATCGGCAGCAGCTGGTCACCGGTCTTCACCTCTCCTCCACCTCGATTCCCCCCTGCATCTCGTGCTATCGTGGGAAACAAACACGTCAGCCATTTGGCGTGTCCCATTCTCGCACCACAGCCCCACTCCAACTCATTCACTCAGATATTGCTGGACCGCTTTCATATGGAACTACCATTGGCGGCGCTCGCTACCTTCTCACCTTCATCGACGACTATTCCCGCCACATTACAGTGTATCTCCTACGCCACCGGTCGGAGGCACTTTCATGCTTCAAGGCTTACGTCACTCGGGTGCACAACATGCATTCCCCACACACCATCAAAACCTTTCGCTCTGACGGTGCCTTGGAGTTCACTTCCAAAGCCTTCACTTCATTCCTTACAGCTCATGGCATCGCCCGCCACCTCTCCACGCCATACACACCTGAGCAAAATGGAGTAGCTGAGCGGGCCAACCGGACTTTACTTGAGATGGTCCGTTCCATGCTCCATGATGCACACATGGACAAAGGCTGGTGGGGTGAAGCCGCTCTTACTGCTGCCTATCTTCGTAATCATGCCATTAGTCGGGGTGGTTCAACTTCTAAGACTCCCATGGAACTATGGACCGGTGCACGTCCGGATGTATCACACCTCCGCATCTTCGGTTCACCCGTCTCGGTCCTCATTCCTTCCCAACGGCGTTCTAAGCTCAACGACCGAAGCACGGCCGGCATCATGGTTGGATATGGTCAGCTCGACGGCACCAAAGCTTACCGCATCTATATCCCATCTCAGCACCGTGTCATCCTTTCTCGTGATGTCATCTTCATGGAGCCCTCTGCACCGCCTTCCGACGACTCTCGCGACCCTCCATCGTCATCTCCACCCACATCCTCCTCACTACCTCCTCCTACACACCCTTCTTCCTTGGACCCAATCTCCCCTCCCTCTCCTTCCCCCACCATACCTTCCTCCACCAACCCCCACCCACAATCCCCAAACCTGCCCGCACCAGCCGCATCTTCTCCTCCTCCATTGTTTTCCAACCTTCCTCTGCCCTCGACGCCGCAAGACTTTCACCTTCCATCCTTCTCTCCTCCCTCTTCGCCTCCCCCTCCCCATTGCACGACTCGCTCCTCCCCGCCATCCCCTTCAGCTCTTCCCGATCCTTCCCTTTTCTCCTCCCTCAAGGTCTTACCATCCCCTTCCGAACCCATTGACTTCACTCTTCCTCCTCTTTCCAACACCTCTGCCAATGCTGCCCTTCACCATCATTACGAACCTCAAACCATTCATGAGGCTCGTACCGGCCCTGATGCTGCCGAATGGATCAAGGCTGCTGATGCGGAACTCGCTGCCCTGCACGCTAATGACACCTACAGCATTGTTCCTCGACCACCCAAGTGCAAGCCGATTCCATGCAAATGGATTTTCAAGGTCAAGGAGAACGCTGATGGTTCTATTGAACGCCGCAAAGCCCGCCTTGTTGTCAAAGGCTTCAAGCAACGTGATGGTGTTGATTTTCATGACACCTTTGCTCCTACCGTCCGCTTCGCCACCCTCCGCTTGTTTCTCACCATAGCTGCCGCTTTCAACCTGGACGTCCATCAGCTGGACATCTCCAACGCCTTCCTCAACGGCACCCTTGATGAGATTCTCTACATGATGCAGCCTCCCGGTTATGACCTTCCGGCGGTCCATGGTGTTGAGCAAGTTTGTCTCTTGCACAAACCGCTGTACGGGTTGAAGCAAGCTCCGCGATGCTGGTACCGCAAGCTTCGTGAGGAGCTTGCTGCCTTTCACCTCTTTGCTGCTCGTGCGGACCCCGGCCTCTTCATTGCTCCTCCTCACTCACCTTATCGGCCTACAGCTGCATCCTTCTTCATGCTTCTCGTCTATGTTGACGACCTCATCATTCTCTCCTCCTCCTCCTCTCTTCTTGCCTCATTCAAGCATGCCCTTTCATCTCGCTTCAAACTTCGTGACCTCGGACCTCTCTCCTACTACCTTGGCTTTCACATCACTCGTGATCGAACTTCCCGCACTCTCCACCTTCATCAATCCAAATTCATCACCTCCATTCTAGACACCTACTCCTTCTCTCCACTGAACCCCGCTGCCACTCCCATGGACACAAAGTTTCAGCCACCCGTGACTTCCTCCCCGCACTCCTCCTCCTTCCCTTACACCTCGTTTGTCGGCTCCATCATGTATGCCATGGTGGGGACCCGTCCCGACCTCGCATATAGCGCTGGAGTTCTTGCTCGTCACCTTCACGATTGGTCTACTCCTCACGTCTCGGCTGCCAAACGCATTGCTCGCTACTTGAAAGGGACTACCTCCCTTGGGCTTCTCCTTGGTGGCATTCCCGACACCCTCGAACTTCATGGCTGGTGTGACGCCTCTTGGGGACCGGAGGGGGAGCTGCGTCGCTCCGTTACGTGCTACTTGTTCTTCCTCGGTCCGTCACTCATCTCTTGGCAGTCCAAACGCCAAGCCGTCGTTGCTACCTCTTCATGTGAAGCTGAATATTACTCTCTGGGCGCCGCGGTGCACGAGGCATTATGGCTTCGTTCGCTCCTTACTGCAGTTGGACTTCCCCCTACCGGCCCCACCCGTATCTCGTGTGACAACAACAGTGCCATCATTCTCGCCAAGGACGATGGCGTCTTTCATCCCAAGGCCAAGCACATCGACATCAAGCACCATTTCATTCGCGATCATGTTGCCGACCACTCCATCACCCTTCACTATGTTCCTACTCAAGACAACCTCGCTGACATTGGGACCAAGCCTTTGCCCCGTGACCCTTTTCTTCGCATCCGTGGTCTTCTCGGTCTCACCCATGTTTCCTCTTGAGGCACCCTACCCCGGGGACATCCTTGAGGGGGGGTGTTGTGGAAGCAAGAATGTCCCAGTGGGTACCTTTGGTCTTAGTGGTCGCGGGTTCAACTCTCATCGGCAGCACCTTCTCTTCTCATTATGCCGAACATGACACTCCCACACTCCACCACACTCACCCACAGTGAAGTGTGGTCACAGTTGGCATTGCCATCTGTCCACCCATCCCATACTCACCTTGTTGGCTCCTATGGTGTGCCACATGCTGCCATGTAGGCTGTTGTTCCAGCCTGGCCCACATGTGCAACATGTGGCCTCAATTGCTAGCTTGGCAAGGTTGGCTAGCCCTGCCCTCAGCTTTGAGGTGCTGCAGCTAGCTTCAAGAGTTCAGCCACATAAATGTGGCTTCCCACTTCTCTAGAACTCATCCTTGGAAAGGACATTGCTCTAGCCTTTCAGGCTTGTACCATCTTCCTACTAAGGATATATTGTTCTTCTCTCATTGTGCCTCAAGTTCACCGATCCTCATTCTACAAGATGCGCTCAGGTGCTCCTTCAAGAGCTTGCCAGTGCCTTTTTTTGTTAGAGGGAGAGGAGAATGAACCCGGTACAGTGAGATGAATATTGTAGCTAATACAGTTTACAGTTTCGTCGATATGCAGTGGTTAATTTAATTGCAATTTGTGATTCACAATCTTTACCAACTATTGTACACTCCAAGTTGCAATGGCACTCTGACGGCAAGACAAGGAGGGCACAGCACAGCAAGGTTGCTCCTTGCACACGTGCCATCTGGGAGGCGCTTTCTAATTCCAAGTGACGGCAGTGCAAGGAGGGCACGGAAGGTGGAGGACGGCAGCGGCGCTTTCAGATTCTCTCTGCGCTCCTTCCCTCCTCCCATCTTTATAGGACAAGGATGGCATGGCAGTGCTGCCTCGCAAGCACACTGACTGGGAGGCAGAGCAGGCGGAGCAGCAGCAGTTTCGCCACCGCCTGCGAGTGAGAGTGGAGACCAGCGATGGCCGGCGCGTGGCGCGGGAGAATCTGGGGGTTACTGCTGCTGCTGGTGGTGGTGGTGATGGGGATGGGGATGGGGATGAGGAGGTGGAGAAGGAGGGGGAGGAGGGGGAGGAGGGGGAGGAGGAGGGTCGTGAGGGGCAGAGCGGCATGGATGTGGACGCTCCTGCGTGTGTGAAGATTGTGGTGCGTGCATGTGTGGTGTGGTGTGGTGTGGTGTGGTGTGGTGTAGTGTGGTGTGGGGCACATGGCATGCGGCACATGGCAGCGGCACATGGCACAGCACATGGCACAGCACATGATCGACCACCACATCTGATCATGCCACACCGTTCAGCACCACATGTTTTCCACTCTTTCCAGCTCTCATCTTCTCCAACCACCAAGCCGTCGCCTCCCCTCCCTTCCCCTACCCTCCCTCCCCTCCCCCCGTTCTCTGTATCCCTACCTTCTCTCGTGCTCCATGGTTTAAAGCAAGGGTCATGCCATGTCATTCCAGGCACAGCCATTCCTTCAGCATTTTGCCACAATTCACATTCTCCAAAACACACCAATTCTCCCCTCTCTTCATGCTCTTCACTCTCCCCTGCTCCCTCCCCTCCCCGTCCCCCCTTCTCAAATTCTTTTCCAGGATTTCCAGCAGGGTTTTTCTGTTGTTGAGTACTGGCTCTTCCAGACCCTCTGGGTCCAGCTGTCAGCCTCAGGTGATTTTCAGGTTCAGGTAATTTTCAGGTTCAGGTGATTTTCAGGTTCAGGTGATTTTCAGGTTCAGGTGATTTTCAGGTTCAGGTGATTTTCCAGGTTGATGTGGATCCCAACATTAAGGTGACATTGCTTGCTTCTGAAGGTGAGCTAGCAGTCGAAACACATTTCCAATGAATGCTTTTTGTCTTGGGAGCATTATCCTGACAACTGACACCAGCACGCGCACCTCCTTCACCTCTGTCGATCCCCTTCCCTCCAGCTCCCCCTCCCTCCACCTTTTTTTCCACCTCCTTCGTTCCCAGGCTCCATCGCTCGCTTCCCCACCCTCAAGATGGCGATGCTAGCAGATGAGCCAGTCAAATTGCTTCCAATTTCTCCTCAACAACGTTTCTTCACTCTCCTTCTCCATCCCATCCCTTCCTCCCAGGCCCCAACACGCATGTCCCCACCCTCAAGATGGAAACACTAGCAGATGTGCTACTCAAACTTCTTCTCATTTCTTTCTAATCACATACCTTTCTTTCCAATTACATATCTTTCTTTCCAATCACATATCTTTCTTTCCAATCACATGTCTTTCTTTCCAATCACATATCTTTCTTTCCAATCACATATCTTTCTTTCCAATCACATATCTTTCTTTCCAATCACATATCTTTCTTTCCAATCACATGTCTTTCTTTCCAATCACATATCTTTCTTTCCAATCACATATCTTTCTTTCCAATCACATATCTTTCGTTCCAATCACATATCTTTCTTTCCAATCACATATCTTTCTTTCCAATCATATATCTTTCTTTCCAATCATATATCTTTCTTTCCAATCACATATCTTTCGTTCCAATCACATATCTTTCGTTCCAATCACATATCTTTCTTTCCAATCACATATCTTTCTTTCCAATCACATATCTTTCTTTCCAATCACATATCTTTCTTTCCAATCACATATCTTTCTTTCCAATCACATATCTTTCTTTCCAATCACATATCTTTCTTTCCAATCACATATCTTTCTTTCCAATCACATATCTTTCTTTCCAATCTCATATCTTTCTTCTCGCTCCATCGCTACCCTCAAGATGGAGATACTAGCATCTGCAATATTTAAGTTGCTTCTGATCTCTTCTTATTCACGTTTCTTCACTCTCCTCCCTCCCTCCCTCCCTCCCTCCCTCCCTCCCTCCCTCCCTCCCTCCCTCCCTCCCTCCCTCCCTCCCTCCCTCCCTCCCTCCCTCCCTCCCAGGCTCCATCGCTCGTTTCCCCACCCTCAAGATGGAGATACTAGCAGATGCACACCCCTCAGCCGTCACAGCGAATCTCAAGAGCCAGTCAGAGGCTGCCAGCTCAGCTCCGCGAGGGTTGATGGGCGACGAGGAGGGGGGGAGTGGAGAGGGAGCAGAGGATCCCACCGTTTCTCACTCTCACTTCGGGCCCTGGAGGGACGAGGAGGAGGAGGAGAGTGAGGAGGGGGGAGAGGGAGGGGAGGGAGGGAATGGGGAGAACAGGCAGAGGAGGGAGAAGGTGGAAAAGGGGCTCCTGGGAGCTGGAGATCAAGGGAACTTGACGCAAGGGTCAGTGTTTTCAGGAAAGAGGCTTGCAGAGGAGGGGTTTCCTGTAGATGTGGATTTTGAGGCCGATGCTGCTGCCGCTGCCACTGCCGCTGCTGTGGCTGCCGCTGTGGTGGCCGGGGAGGGGGAGGAGGAGGAGGAGGCTGAGGTGGAAGAAAGAGGGGCAGGAGGGATATGCAGGGGAGACGAGTGGGCGGGACAGAAGGGAGGAACGAAGGGGGGACTAAGAGGGAAGGGTGGGAGGAAGGGTATGGCAAGTACAGTTGAGGAGGGAGAGGAGGTTGTTGGGAGTGCGGATGGGGGTAGAGGAGTGAGTGGGCGGCGGGTGATTGGGAGGCTTGCTGTTGTGGAAGCTAGCAGTGCCAGCATCACTGCTGATGAGGGTGGTAGCAGCAAGAACACAGCTAGCAGTGGTGGCAGCACCGACAGGATCGCAGCCAGCAGCGGTGCTGCTGGTGCTGGTGCTGCTGGTGCTGCTGGTGCTGCGGGTCAGATGGATGCGTTTCGTGGGCGGTGCGGCGTGCACGATCTCATGGAGGCCATGCGTGCGCTGCACATGGCAGGAGGTATGTGGTGCCACGTGGCTGCAGGTTTGATGATGCCACGTGGCAGCAGATTAAGGATGCAACGTGGCAGCATTTTAAGAATGCCACATGGCAGGGGGTGGAGCGCAACAGAGTGAGGAAACGGGCCTTCTTCTCAAACACGTAGGTATCGTGAAACACTTTCAGTCTTTCAGATTCCTTCATTCCCTCTCCCACCATTCCCTCTTACCTTTCCCTCCCACCTTCCCCTTCTACCTCCTGCCGTTTTCTCACACGAGGAATGGCCCTCCCCTAACCGCCCCCATCCCATGCGATTCCATTTCACATTCAGATTCAACCAGCATGGTCTTCTCTCCAATCGATGTTGCTTTCTCTCTCGCGCAAACACAAACTCCTCATGGCCCTACCTCCTCTTCCTCCTCTTCCAATCCTCTTCCTTTGCCGCCCGGCGTTTCCATAAGTGCCGCCCTGCCACTCTCGTTGGACGGGGAGTCGTATCCGGATGGTATCTCAACCATGCGAAAGAATCAGTTGCTGGTGAGCTTCATGTGTTGACTCTGCGTTTGTGGTCACAATGTTGTTTACCGTACCTCATCTTCAGTTTTTTATTCCTTGGGCTATGCTGCTACCGTAAGTCATTATGTGGCATCCTGTTGCTCTCAGTTATCGTATCTACACCACGCATTTCAACGTGAATCGAACTATTTTGCTGTTCTTTACAGGCAAGAGCGGCCCACACTCGGGCTATGCTGAATAAATCTGCCAAGTCGAATGCAGCTGACAGGCAACAGAGAAGGGCTGCAAGAGAAACCCGTTTACGACTGAGAGCACAAGGTCAATAATATCGGAATTTGAGATTACACATTCTAAAGAGAGGCTATTCATTGTGCCTTGCAATAGCTGATGGGCCTCCGCCTCCCGTCCCGAGGCATGTCCTTCAGATAACCTGACCTCTCAATAATATTTGAAGTTAGGTTACGCATTCTGTGAAGAGACGGTCTGCCGTTGTACCTTTCAATAGCTAATGTGCTTCCTAATAACATGTCATAAAAGAGTTACAAATGAATTCTTAATCATGTTAGAAGTTGATTTACGCAATCTAGCAATATTTACCATCCTGCATTGCCATTCAATCGCTGATAGGCTTCGCGAGGCATGTAATGAAGTGTACAGCTGGCCTTTCGTGATCCGTGAGGACGCTACCCTATGGAGCCTCCGAGACGACGCTACCCCACGGAGCTTTCAAGTGTCAATTACCTTCTCAAGTTGCGAAAGGACGAAACCGCGTTCAGGAGGGTGTCGTTAAGAAGTAAATTCTTGTACTGTACAGCTGAACGATGTTGTGTTACAGTAGAATGCAAATCAGCAGATTCAACAATAATATCGCAGCCTCATTTTCGTTCTTGTGGAGTCTCGATGTTGGTGCCCCCCACCCTTCTCGAGCAACTCTGGGGGATGACTCACACCCTCCAGAAGCAAGGGCTCCAAAGAGTAACGTCTCTGTTTCCCTAGGTGTTAACACAGGGAGGCTGGGGCCGAACACGTGTCAGTCGCTACGAGGTGTGGTCTGGTCGTGAGGGCTGTGGATTTGGAGTCGCGACGCGATGCACAGCCTCCTAGGGCTTGTGTGTCCACGTCGGAGCAGCACGCATCTCGTGGGCCATCAGAATAATTTTCCCGCTGGTGGCTGCGTGTGGGCGACCTTCCACGCGCGCAAAGAACGTCTTCGCTTTTTGCCTGGGAAGGAGAGAAGTAGTCGCAATGGCAAAGTTCCCTCTCTTCCAAGCAAAGCGCTGGCCTGACAGCGCATCATCGCCACCCGCGTGTATTGATTGGCTGTCTCGACTCTATCTCGCACACCTTGAGCTTGCTTGTCGCATCTGGCGGATTATGATCGCACCGACCACCTTAGCCGCAATTTCGTAGCAATTCTCGTCTAGTTCTGAATCTGAAGCGACGTTTGGAACTTCCATGGGTTGAAGCCTCCTTTCTCCGGTCGCCTGTTAACCGCCCTCTCGGTCTTAGAAAGGGCTAGATGACTATGCTACCTCCGACTACTACCTCGTATTTGTCGACGCGCGTTTGGATGAAAGGCGACACTTGCGGGGTCCGTAAGGTCACGGAACCACCAATCTCCGAAGTGATTATCTAGGCGTCACCAATCCAGATTCATCTGAACTTAACCCAACTTGAGTTTGTCGACGACTTACTACTCTTGATCAGCGTCCCCATTCTCTCTCACAAGACCAGTATCTCCCAGAATCGCCTTAGCTCCTCTCCGCCATATCATCACACCTGAAGCTGACCAGTTTCCACAACTCTCTCACTCAGTCGCCTGGTGCTCACTCAATCACTTTCTCGCCAAGCCATTTCCTCTTGCTTATACGATGGGTTCGCTCGGCACTGCCGCTGAATTCGTCCTTCCCACGGAGCAAGTGCAACTGATCAAAGACAGCTTCAAGGCGAAGCTCCAGCCTGATGTGCCGTATCACGCAATGTCGCTCTTCATCAAGTAAGCACCTTTCTGAAACTTTCCACGACTCCTGAAGTTTGCTGACTTCCAGTAGTTCCTGACAGAAATTCTAATCCTCCCGGCGCTTGAAGCTACTCAGATCTGTGCACCTTTGGTCCTGACCTTGTGCTGACCCGCTGAAAATGATGTCTCCCACTGGCAGTTTGTTCGAGATAGTGCCGGAAGCGAAGGCCCTCATATCCATGACCAAGGACTACACGGGCCCCATGAGAGACAACAAGGCGCTTCAGGAACACGCCACCACTGTTCTGAAGAAGGTGAGTGGGTGGGGATGAAAGTGTTGGTAGGACTGCTGTTTCAAGGAACTAGAAAATGCTCTGGAGAGAGAAAGCGAGAGGACGAAGAGTTGAGTGATTGTCATACAAAACGGCTGATTGTAATTAATGCCTTTTTTAATGCCTACTATGACGTTCGTGAGTGCAGGTGGTCAACATTGCTACGAATCTGGACAATGAGAAGCAGGTGGAGATGTACAGGAAGAGCCTCGCAACGCTAGGCCAGAGACACATTGGATATGGGGTCAAGCTCAAGCATGCTGCGGTATGTAATGTACCCAACAGTCTTCATATTTGCAATCAGGTTCCTGCAGTACTGTACATCACGTGCTGTATTGTGTTGCCAGGCTTCGTCTTTCCCCGTCCCCTAATACTCTTGTCGATTCTCTGATGTTCAATTTCAGAAACTGAGGGATGCCTTCGTGATTACCATGGCTGACGCCATGGGTGATACGTGGAGTGGTGACGTGAAAGCAGCATGGATCGCTGCCTATGATGTGATTGAGGAGATGTTTGTTGTAGGATTAGTTGGGGCGGCTGCTCTGAAGCAGAGTTAGGATGCACTGAGGAGATGACTGACTGCATAGATGGCTGCTGACGTTGATAGGACACATATGACACGCTCTGATTGTGCTGTATTGTATAGTCAATTGTTATACAGTATAGGATGATTATGAATACGGTAGTCTGACATTTAGGGTAAACATCAATATGGTAACCTGCTGCAGTGGCTAATGTTAGTCTAGTAATTTAGAAAGCTTGCTTTCTCTTGTGATTTGACATCGGGGCATCGTTTACATTTCAACTGGCAGATTACAACATGCATCTCAAGCTAGGAAACAGAAGTGCTAGTACATATTATACTACCGTATTCTCCCTGACATAACACCCTAGGGTATAGCTAAAAATACAGGGAAAAAATGGGGGGGGTCTCCTCATAGGAAAAAAATACATACGGTAATACCCGGGTCTTTACTTTACATATGGCATATCTTAGTGTTAGTGTTTTTTTAATTAGTCAATGTGGGTGTTTTGCTGGTCGTTTTAGCATCACTGCCTGAGGCGCGAATGTGAGTTTCGGCCTCGAACTTCATCGCCCCCACGAAAATGGCATGTGGCACCTCTCTTGCCACTTGCAACGGAAGATTCACTTGCACGTGGCGACAGAGAAATAGTGGGAGGGGGCAAATCTCGGCAGATTGCCTTTGAATGTACCGCGAAATTTCATTGAGGGAGAAATTCACACGACATTCTTCTGTAGTGCAGCTACTCGTTAACGACTATAATAATGAATCCGTAAGAAAAGGGGGGGTGTTATAGAAAATCAGCCAAAAAGGGGGGTATAGTAGAAACGAGGCCTATCATAACACCCACCCCGCACAAGCTACCCGGGGGTGTACAATTATGGGGGGGTGTTTTGTCTGGGAGTATACGGTACGTATCAATCATTGTACTAGCTATTACCGTCTCCCCCCGGATATAAGCGCCACCCTAGGATAAGCGCCTGGCGCTTCTAATTGGCATATGGCGCTTATATCCCCTCCTCGATTATAAGCGCACCCCTTGAAAAAACTTGTTTTATTATAAGCGCACGTAAACTTTAAAATTTGAAATGTGTTCAAAAAGCTGTAACGATTTTTACTTTAGCAGGCGGATATGTTGCAGATTCGGTTCCCTTCACATTCGGACCCTGCACTGGATGCGGGTCCAGTCAGCAGGACCTATCAGGAGCTGGATGTGAGTCAGATTGGGTGTATCTCCCAGCGCGCGCGAGAATTTCACAGACGATCCCATGTAACTTCGACTCGATTGAAAAGGCAAGCACGAGACCTACAGTTTGGTGTTAAAAGATATAAAAAATATGTATGTCATTTTATAAACGCCGGCGCTTATAAATTTACTCGATTATAAGCCCACCCCCATGAAAAAACCTGTTTTATTATTGCCCCCCATGGGGGTATATCCGGGGGGATACGGTAATCATTATACTCGCTATCTATTATGCTACTGGCTATCGATCTTCGTGTTCAAACAGCGTCCGTGATGTCCATCGATGTTGGGGCGGGGGGTGGGAGAGTTGTATGAGCCGTTGGAAAATGAGAGACGAGGGCGGAGGGGAATGAGCTCCAACCCACGATTTGTAGTTGGAGAAGGGCGTTTGGCACGCTTCGACGATGCCAAAACATGCGTTACAAGCAGCTGCGCTTTCGAAATACGAAAATTTGAAAACACTTCGTGTGTTTAAAATTTATACTATTTAGAAAGCTTGCTTTCTTTTACTTATGATTTGGCATCGTTCTCATTTCAACTGGGGACCCTGAGACATGGGTAGCAGGGGTTTTCGATGACGGATGAGTGCCTCTACGTGCTGTGCTGGAGACAGGGCGTGGTTCAGGTCCTGCAACTGGCGGGAGGCGTTGACGAGATGTTCAGCGTTAGGCGTGACATACATCTCCTTTGCTGTGTCACTACGACATTTGCCCAGTCGTTTGAAGATTCTGTCTGGCACACCGGTGTTTGCCGCGGCAGTGGCTGCACCCTTGCGAAAGAAATGAGTTCCCAGGTGCTGTTCTCCAAGTCCGATCTTCCCGAAGGCCTAGTATTTGCACCAGTTTCGGATTGTCGGATATGAGGGTGGCTTTGCTTGGCCACCTTGGGTGGAACTGTGACCGAAGATGCGAATCAACGCCCCCCCCGACTGCTGGTCATATCCTGCGAGTTGAGTAAGTCGTCGAGTGCAGCGGACAGGGCAGAAGGGATCGTGTGTTGCAGCGATAGGTACCCATGTGCCCTTTCCAGCTTGGTCCGTCTTGGAGTACGGAATGAGGATCCACATGACCTCGTCGTCGAACTGGATGTCTTGCCACTCGATGGCGACGAGGTCCGAATATGGCAGGAAACCGGAGTACATGAGAATGGGGATGAGCTTTTCTGGAATTCCCCGGGGTTGTCAGATTGCAGGTATCTAGAAGACATGTCAAGAACTTGTTGCAGCGAGACGGGCTCCTTCACTCTCGTGGGGCGAGGACAATGCATTTTTTCTTAGAATCTTAGGCATGAAGTTGTGTGTGATTAGATGAAGGTTGGGGTACAAGACTAGAGTGTCGAGAATGTTTTTGTACCCCCTAAGGCTAGCCCCAATATAGTCTAGATAATAATATGCATATGTTTTGACACACCCCCATAGGTGAAATGGGGGATAGCCAGAGCAAGCAATGGTCACAAGACCAGTCAAGAGAAGAAACAAAACACAGCTCAAGGTGGATCACAACGTCACCACACACACTGAGCACAAGCAAACAGCCACAAGGCCAGTCCACATGCAGAGGTATATAAGCAACAAGAACAACACAGTGATCTCTACCTACCAAGAGCAAGCATGCAGGTATATACATATAGATCACAGTATAAACAGAGACTACAGCAAGTGTGGAAACGTAGGCAATGTGAAAATGAGAACGAGAATGCATCAACTATGAATGAAGTGAGTACATATAGGGAACCCTAAATGGGTTGTACCCCCTATGGGATACCCCACTATAGCCTACACAACAGCATAAGCTATAATGTTCTGACACACCCCCATAGGCAAAGTGGGGGAGAACAAGGGGTCACATGACCAGTCAAGGAAAGCAAAGCAAAGCAAGCTCAGGGTGGATCACAAAGTCACCACACAGTCTGAGCACAAGGCCACAAGGCCAGTTCACAAGCAAGAGTACACACATATATATAAAGCTAGACAAGCAAGAGCAGGTATACATATATGTGAGAGTACAAGCAATGTCAAGAGGAGAGCAAGTGAGGCAAGACGGGCACAAGACCCAGCTGGGTGCAGAAGCGCTGATGATCACAAGGCGCAAGTGCCTTGGTGAACACATCAGCAGTGTTGGCCTCAGAGGCCACGTACGCAAGCCGCAACTGACCACGCTGCTGTAGCTCACGAGCAAGGAAGTAGTAGAGAGCAATGTGTTTTGTTCTGTGCTCCAGTCTCTGCTCTCGACACAAGGCCAGCATGGCCTTGTTGTCTACGTACAGGATTGCAGGAGAACTAGGCGGCTCTCCAAGGTCGGTCAGCAGGTAGGTGAGCCAGCGAAGCTCCTGTGCAGCCATGGCCCCGGCGTCGATCTCAGCCTCACAACTGGAGCCGAGAACAGAAGACGAGCGAGTAGCCCGCCACGAAACAGAGCCAGAACCAAGGCTGAAGGTGTAACCCTAGGACGACCGCTCCGTAGCCTGGTCGTCAGCCCAAGAAGCGTCTGCGTGCCCAGTGAGGACCACTGGACTCCGCCCTCCAAGCACTAGCCCCATGCCCAACGTACTGCACAAGTAGCGCAACACCCTCTTCGCTGCAGCCATGTGCTCTGGTCGGTGTCTCCCAGGAGCAACATAGCGTGCAAGAATGCCAAGAGGGTATGCAAGGTCAGGTCGTGTGCAGGTCATCAGGTACATGAGGCAGCCAACAAGCTCTGGATATGGGCCACTCGACTCTACGCACTCATCCGAAGGCAGAGCTGAGAGTGAGTGGCGAGGAGGCAGAGGAGTGGCCTGAGGCGAGGAGTACGTGAAGCCGAAGCGCTGAAGGACCTGCTGTACCATGTGTGACTGAGTCAGGGTAATGGTGCGGCGTGCTCTGTCCCGGGTGATCTGCAAGCCAAGGTAGCTGCGCAGTTCACTCAGGTCTGTGCACGTGTGTCTCTTCTGCAGCTCGGACTTCACGTAGGCGAGTCCAGCAGTGTCAGCTGTGCCAAAGACCAAGTCGTCGATGTACACGAGGATGTTGAACGGCGGTAGAGAGGTGTCGGTGCGCAGAAACAGCGACGGGTCGGCAGTAGAAGGAGCAAACCCAAGAGCCGCAAGTGTAGTCCTTTGTGTGTCGTGCCACTCACGTGGTGCCTGGCGGAGACCGTAGACTGGCCGCCGGAGGCTCCACTGGGTGCCGGGAGGAAAAGACCCAGTGAAGCCAGGTGGGCGACGCAGCCAGATCTCCTCGTGCAGGCAACCTTGCAAGAAAGCAGTGCTGAAGTCAAGAGAGTGCAGCTTGTAGTCACGGTGAGCAGCAACGTGCAGCAGTACCTGAAGAGTGGTCATCTTCGGGGTGGGGGAGAAGGTCTGAAAGTAGTCAACTCCCTGCCGCTGACTGAAGCCACGAGCCACGTAACGCGCCTTGAAGACAGGCGGAGAACCCGGCGGCCGCTTCACCCTGAAGATCCACATGCCACTGACGATGTTCGCCCCAGAAGGGGGGACAGCATCAACGTAGGTGCCTGTGGACTTCCAGGAAGCCATCTCTGCATCCATAGCTGCCTGCCACTGAGAGGAGTAGGGACCCTCTATCGCCTCCGCGTAAGAGCGCGGAGTCGGGATGTCAAGTGCATCCGGGTCTCCCTCAGGGGTAAGCAGTACGGACACGAGATGAGGTGAAGCAGCTGCCATACACTGGAACTCCTCCTGCCTGTCCTCAAGGACGTCCGTGCCAAGGGCACACTCACCCCCGACGGACGGAGGACAGACAAACTCAGACTCAGCGAGAAGACTAGCAGCGTAGTCTAAGCGACAGCGAGCAGCAAAGTCGACCAGCTCAGTAGCGAGAGCAGACGCAGCAGTAGACTCGAAAGAAGGGTCAGTGACAAAAGTAGCAAGGAGACGCGTGACAGTAGAACTGGCAGCACGAAGAGAGTCCGACTCCGGGTCGGCAAGAGCAGGAAGAGAGGACTCAGGAGGAGAAGGCAAAGGGGCACGCAGAGGAGCAGTGGACGGACGCAGAGACATCGGGTGCGTGCTAGGGACAGGAGGAGGACGCTGACGCAAACTGCGACCACTAGTGCGAGCAGCACGCACAGGCGACGCAGGGCGAGACGCAGGCTCACGACGCACAGCCAGACCTCCAGTAGGACCAGTGTAGGGAGAAGGAGCAGGCAAAGGGGAGGTGGGCTGCAACTGTAGCTGGGACGAGACAGGCTGTGGACACTCTAAGGGAGGAGGAGGATTAGTAGAAGGTGGAAGACCAAGAACCTGCTGCAGGAGTGGAACGAAGTACACTCGAGGCCGCGCGGCGACGCCAGAAGCAGCAGGGACAGCACCAGAACCCTCAGCAGGAGCCCCCGCTCCAGTAGCACCACCAGTAGCTCCAGAACCTCCAGCAGCACCAGGAGCACCCCGAGCAGGACTGCCAGCGGTAGTCTCAGCGCCAACACCCTCAACAGCACCAGCTCCAGTCGACCCCGCATGTCCAGCAGCTCCAGTGCTCCAAGGACGAGCACCTCCGGGACCCGCGACAGCAGCACCCTCAGCAGCCGAAGGACCTCCAGCACCAGCAGCACGCCTCCAGCGCCGGGCAAACCACTCACGCAGCTCCTGTGGAGAGAGTGGCTCCCGGCGAGACGAAGCACTCGGAGAACCTCCAGACTCAGCACCCCAAGGCGTAGCACCCCTAGGCTCAACACCCCCAGGCGTAGCACCCCCAGGCTCAGCACCCCCAGACGTAGCACCCCTAGGCTCAGCACCCCCAGGCTCAGCACCCCCAGACGTAGCATCCCCAGGCCCAGCACCCCTAGGCTCCGCACCCCCAGGTACAGCACCCCCAGCCTCAGCACCCTCAGCAGCACCAGAGTCACCAGTGACCTCGACAGGCTCGACTGCGTCTACCTGGGACACACCTGAAGGGGCAGGACCCGGAGGGGGGAGGAGGTCTACCTGGGGGGGGCCTGGTACCAGGAAGAGTGGGGGTGGGGGGAGGGACGGAGTGCGGTAGGGGAAGAGGCCGTAGTAGGGGACCGACTCGTCAAACGTGACGTCATGGGAGGACAGAACACGGCGAGAGGTGGGGTGGTAAAACTGCCACCCAGGCGCGTCAGGGGGGAACCCCAGGAAGACGCAAGGAGCAGCACGAGGGGATAGCTTGTCCGCAGACAGGTCGCGGACAAACGCTCGAGATCCCCAGACCCGGAACGCCGACGCATTGCGAAGCGCAATTGAAACTCTGCCAGCAGGAAGCGCAGCCTGCGCGCCTCCTTCCCAGCCTCCACAGCAGCAACGTACTCAGACTCAGTGGAGGAAAGGGTGGCGCAACGAATCCGCTGGCTCGCCCATGAGACAGCAACACCCCCGAGCACGAAGACATAGCCACCTGTGCTGGTCCTGTTCTGCTTGTTCCCTGCATCATCAGCATCGGCGTAGCCCACCAGCTCCAAGGACTCCGGCCCACCACCAAACTCCAGCGCCACATCCATGCTCCCCACCAAGTACGTCAAGCACCGGTCCAACTCCTTCCAGTGCTGATCACTCCGCACAGTCTGGCCCGACCCCAGCTTGCTGCAGGCGAACGAGATGTCGGGACGGGTGGTACAGGCCGCGAACTGCAAGGATCCCACCTTCTGCCTGTACTCCTCCTCCTGGCGAGACTGCCACCCCACATCCTCGAAGGTCTGCACACTGAAAGGGTCAGAGGAAAGAGGGGTGCGAGGCACTCGCAACGGCTGCTCCCCGTCAAAGAAGCGCCTATGGACCTTGTCCACATAGGCCCCCTGGTGCAGCCACAGCCTCCTCGTGGGCCTGTCCCGAATCAGCTGCAACCCCAGATATTTCTCCACAGGGCTAATCTCCCGCAGCTGAAAGGCACTCTGCAGCAGGTCACGCAGCTCTGCTAGCATGCTCTGACTGCGGCTGGCAGCAAGCAGATCATCCACATATACCAGCAGCCAGCACATCTCCCCCTCAGCATCAGTCTTGAAGTATAGAGCCTCATCCACCTTGCTCTTCTTCCATCCAGCCCCAAGCAGCACCCCATCCAAGGCCTCATACCATAGCATCGGGCTCTGCTTGAGCCCATACAGACTCTTCACCAACTTACAGACACGAGGAGTCCCATCCTCGTAGTAGCTCGGCTGCTCCATGTAAAGGTCTCGGTCCAGCACGCCATGGAGGAACGCGTTCTTCACATCGAGCTGCATCAGGTCCAAATCAAGTGCAGCTGCAATCGCCAGAAGCACACGCGCCGTCACATAGCTTCCCACAGGGGCGTACGTCTCCTCATAGTCCACCCCTGCCACCTGCGTGAACCCCTTCACCACCAGCCTCGCCTTCTCACGCTCCACTATCCCATCTGGTCGGAACTTGGTGTTCAAAATCCAGCGGTTCTTCATCACATTCACCCCTGGCGGACGCGGAACCAACTCCCACGTCCCCTGCTCAATCAAGCTCCGCATCTCCTCATCCATCGCCTCCTTCACCTTGTCTCCCTTCCAGCAGCCCAAGGCCTCCTTCACTGTCATTTTCGCTATGTTCCACTACCTCTCTGGATCAGCTGCCACGTCCGGGTCCCGGTTAGTCCACTCCTCGTCCTCCTCCTTGTCATCCAAGCCCGCTGGCTCAACCACTACAGCCCAAGCGTATCGAACAGGCGGGACACCACGAGTGATGCGAGTGGAGCGACGCAGTGGTGCAGTGGTCGTCCCAGAAACCAACACACGACCACCATCTCTAATTCCCCACATCTCCTGCTCCCCTATCTGCTGCTCCCCAATCTGCTGCTCCCCTGTCTGCTGCTCCCCTATCTCCTGCTCCCCTGTCTGCTGCTCCCCTGTCTCCTGCCCCCCACTCTGCTGTACTCCATCCATACTGCTCTCGTCCTGCAGCTGCTCAGTCTCAAGGCGCTGCCCGTCGGTGATCTCCACAGACGGTGGCACCTCCATCCCCCCCTCACCAACGGGCGGTGCCGTGGAAGACAAAGAAGAGGGCGGAGCAGGTGCAGGAGGGATGGAGGGTGGAAGGGGAGATGGAATAACAAGTTGAGGAGGGGAAGCCAAGGGGGGTGAGGAGGAAAAAGGCGGGGCAGGGGGAATCACACGAGGGTAGACTGAAGGCGGAGGTGGGGTGGGGACCAAGGTAGGGACATAGGGCATAGCAGGAGGTGCGACCACCTCCTCCTCCTCCTCCGCCTCCTCGAGAGTGATCGGGAAGAGTGAGGGAAGGGGCTCATAGGGCATCGAACGCCCCCCATGCTCTTGCTGATGCCAAGCATTCCATCCTGCTAGGGACATGGTCTCATAGAACATAGCTTCCACAGTGGTGAGAGGCGGTTGGACTCCAAGTCCAGCACGGCCCAGCCCTTGCTCGCAGCTGACACACCCAAGTGCAACCCCCAGCGAGCCTTAGGCGCCAGCTTCCCCCCACGCTACGACTGTGGTACCATGTACTGCAGCATGCAGCCCCAAAACGCACCATACTGACATCAGGTTTGCGTCGGAAGGCGAGCTCGTACAGCGTCACACCAGAGGGTAGTGAGGCGTGCTCCACGCGGTTGCGCACCCAGACGGCGTGAGCCAACGCCAAGTGCCACCAGTGATGCTGCACACCCATGTGCAGCAACATCGTCCGCACCGCCTCCACAATGCTGCGCATCTCCCTCTCGGCCATCCCGTTCTGCTCCGGCGTGTACGGGCATGTGAGGTCATGGATGATGCCTTTACCGTCGAGGAAGAGCGTGAAGTCGTGCCCCAGGAACTCGCCACCCCGATCAGTGCGTAGCGCCTGCACCGTGGTCTTGCACTGTCGCTCTGCCATCGGGAGCCACTTCTGGAACGCCGCCAGCGCATCACTCTTCTGGGCCAAAGGGTAGGCCCAGACATATCGCATCTTGCGATCCTTCAGCACCAAGAAGTAGCGGCTGCCGTCCTTGGCTGCTTCACGGAAAGGGCCACACAAATCAGCATGCACCACCCCGAGCAACTCATCCTCCTCCTCTCCCACAGAAGGAAAGGTATGACGAGTGATCTTTCCCCCAACACAGGAGACACAAGGTATGCCTGACTTGCCCCCCTTCTCCAAATCCAAGCCCTTCACTGACCCGTGAGCCGCTGTGCGCTCGATGGCATCAATACCAACGTGTGCCATACGCGCATGCCACAGGCCCCCCTTAGACCGTACGCCCGTCGCCAAGGTACGAAGTGCCACCGTTTCGCCTTCCTGCTGCTGCGTCGAACACGGCTGGAAGTTCGTGCAGAGAACACGCCCCTTGAACTCCGCACGACCAAGGAGCGATCCATCTGGTGCCCTCAGCAAAGTCACATCCCTGGCATCCAGCAGCTACACACCACTATCACGCAGCTGCCCAGCAGAGAGAAGACTCGCCTGCACTCCTGGTACGTACAGCACGTCCGGCACCAAGACACGTCTGCCCCCCTCCCCAAGAAGAGCGACTGTGCCTCGCCCCTGCACCTCCTGAAGGGCGCCGTTGAAGCCGGTAATCTGCTTAATGCTGCCGCCGCTGCTCATCTCCACAAAGGCAGAACGATCTCCCATGAGATGGTGGGAGCATCCGCTATCAAGCAGCACGACGCTCGGGTTAGTCTTCACAGCAGCTGCAACAGCCTGTAAGCCCTCCCCGGCCTCAGGCTCTAGCACAACGAGAGGAGTCTGCTCCACAACTGGCTTCACCATCGCACATGATGACTGCCCGCTCCCCTTAGAGCCATCACCCCCCTTTCCGCTGCTACCTCCAGAACCCTCTCCACCGGTGTCTGCCTCCTTATCCGCCCGCTGCTGACAGTACTTAGCAACATGCCCTATTTGTCCCCACACATAGCACTTCACCTTGAAGCCCCCTTTCCCCCCCTTCGGCTGGCCATCCTTACCCCCTTTCCACTTCTCCCCTCCCCCACCAAGCCCACCCCCATTCTTAGGCTGCTGCTGCTGTGCCGTAGTGGGAGGGGAAGGGAATGAAGTCTGCTGGAATTGGGGCTTACCCTTCTTGGTAAGGACCTGGTTAGCCTGGGGAAGAAATTGGTCATTTCGTCCCTCTGCTGCCAGCGTACACTCCTCCTCGATGATGTAGCTAGCGAGGGTGTCCTCGTCCAACTCCTTGCGAACCTGCGGCAACTTCAGCATCCTGCGTAAGAGGTTGTACTGCTGCGGCAACCCCTTCACAACGTGAGTGATGTACGACGCCTGCGAGTAATCTACACCGGCCATCCTCAGGTTCACTAGGATCTACTGCGCACGGTTGCAATAGGATGTAGCGGACTCGTGCTCTCCCATCTCGAGGTTAGTGAGCGCCTGCTCTAACTGACCGATGTACAGATCGTCCTTCGCCATGTACGTGCGCATAATAAATTGCCATGCCTGATAGCCTGCATCGACCTTCATGCGACACGCCTTAAGGGCGATCTGTACGGTTGGGGAGCAGCATCGGGAAATGGTGGTGAATGTCAGCAACTGCATCGCGTGGAACTGAGAGAGATGCGCAAGCGCACGCGCTGGTGGAATGGGGGTGGTGCCATCTATGAATCGCTTTAGCTAAGCGATCTCAAGTTGCGGCTCGATTGACTGTGTCCACGTCGACAGGTCGTGACGTCCTTCTAACGGCCTAGTGACAACGATCTTATCTGGAGTGAATCTGAAGTAGCCATAGTTGGGGGCTATTCCCTCGTCCCTCGACATCGATCCAATCGGGGTAACGCCCGGCATAGCCTCACTATCGAACTCTTCCGCAATTCCTCCTCCAGCAATGCTTCGCCGTCCTACATTCGCATGCTCTCGTGACGCTACTGCACGATGAACACGCTCCTGTACACCGCCAACGCTAGCCGTACTAAACCGAGTTGGTCCTCGTAGGACCCCACGCGACATCAACCCATCAAACTCCTCGTCATCGCTATTTCCGCCATCGACAGCCATATCCCACGCACTAGTACCTCCCGCAACTTGCTCAACATTCTCTACACGTGGCGAAGGGTGCTCACGATGTGGAAAATAGAACGAGAATGAATGCACTATGAAAGAGTTGGGTACAAATAGCAAAACCCTAATTGGGTTGTACCCCCTATGGGATACCCCACTGTAGCCTACACAACAGCATAAGCTACAAATATGTTCTGACACACCCCCATAGGCAAATTGGGGGAGAACAAGGGGTCACAAGACCAGTCAAGCAAAGCAAAGCAAAGCTCAGGGTGGATCACAAAGTCACCACACAGTCCGAGCACAAGAGCAAGGCCACAAGGCCAGTTCACATGCAGTAGTACACACATATATATATAAAGCTAGACAAGCAAGAGCAGGTATATATATGTGACAGTACAAGTAAAGTCAAGAGGAGAGCAAGTGAGGCAAGACAGGCACAAGACCCAGCTGGGTGCAGAAGCGCTGATGGTCACAAGGCGCGAGTGCCTTGGTGAACACATCAGCAGTGTTGGCCTCAGAGGCTACGTACACAAGCCGCAACTGTCCACGCTGCTGTAGCTCACGAGCAAGGAAGTAGCGAAGAGCAATGTGCTTCGTTCTGTGCTCCAGACGCTGCTCTCGACACAAGGCCAGCATGGCCTTGTTGTCTACGTACAGCACTGGAGGAGAACGAGGCGGCTCTCCAAGGTCAGTCAGCAGGTAGGTGAGCCAGCGAAGCTCCTGTGCAGCCATGGCCCCTGCGTAGATCTCAGCCTCACAACTCGAGCTGAGAACCGAAGACGAGCGAGTAGCCCGCCACGAGACAGAGCCGGAGCCAAGGCTGAAGGTGTAACCCTGTGACGACCGCTGCGTAGCCTGGTCGTCAGCCCAAGAAGCGTCCGCGTGACCTGTAAGTACCACTGGACTCCGCCCTCCAAGCACTAGCCCCATGCCCGACGTACTGCACAGGTAGCGCAATACCCTCTTCGCTGCAGCCATGTGCTCTGGTCGGTGTCTCCCAGGAGCAACATAGCGTGCAAGAATGCTAAGAGGGTATGCAAGGTCAGGTCGTGTGCAGGTCATCAGGTACATGAGGCAGCCAACAAGCTCTGGGTACGGGCCACTCGACTCTACGGACTCATCCGAAGGCAGAGCTGAGAGCGAGTGACGAGTAGACAGAGGAGTGGCCTGAGGCGAGGAGTACGTGAAGCCGAAGCGCTGAAGGACCTGCTGCACCATGTGTGACTGAGTCAAGGTAATGGTGCGGCGTGCTTTGTCCCGAGTGATCTGCAAGCCAAGGTAGCTGCGCAGTTCACCCAGGTCTGTGCACGTGTGTCTCTTCAGCAGCTCGGACTTCACGTAGGCGAGTCCAGCAGTGTCCGCTGTGGCAAAGACCAAGTCGTCGACGTACACGAGGATGTAGAACGGCGGCAGTGAAGTGTCGGTGCGCAGAAACAGCGACGGGTCAGCAGTAGAAGGAGCAAACCCAAGGGCCGCAAGTGTAGTCCTCACTGTGTCGTGCCACTCACGTGGTGCCTGGTGGAGACCGTAGACTGGCCGTCGGAGGCTCCACTGGGTGCCAGGAGGGAAAGTCCCAGTGAAGCCAGGTGGACGGCGCAGCCAGATCTCCTCGTGCAGGCTCCCCTGCAAGAACGCAGTACTGAAGTCGAGAGAGTGAAGCTCGTAGTCGCGCTGAGCGGCTATGTGCAGCAGCACCTGAAGAGTGGTCATCTTCCGGGTGGGAGAGAAGGTCTGAAAGTAGTCAACTCCCTGCCGTTGACTGAAGCCACGAGCGACGTACCGCGCCTTGAAGACAGGTGGAGAGCCCGGCGGCCGCTTCACCCTGAAGATCCACATGCCACTGACGATGTTCGCCCCAAGAGGGGGAGCCGCGTCAACGTAGGTGCCTGTGGACTTCCAGGAAGCCATCTCTGCATCCATAGCTGCCTGCCACTGAGAGGAGTAGGGACCCTCTACGGCCTCCGCGTAAGAGCGCGGAGTCGGGATGTCTAGTGCATCCGGGTCTCCCTCAGGAGCAAGCAGTACAGACGCGAGATGAGGTGAAGCAGCAGCCAGACACTGGAACTCCTCCTGCCCGTCCTCTAGGACGTCCGTGCCAAGAGCACACTCACCCCCGACGGACGGAGGACAGACAGACGCAGACTCAGCAACAAGACTAGCAGCGTAGTCTAGACGACAGCGAGCAGCAAAGTCGACGAGCTCAGCGACAAGAGCAGACGCAGCAGCGGACTCAAAAGAGGGGTCAGTGACGACAGTAGCAAGCAGACGCGTGACAGTAGGACTGGCAGCACGAAGGGAGTCCGACTCTGGGTCGGTAAGCACAGGAAGAGAGGACTCAGAAGGAGAAGGCAAAGGGGCACGCAGAGGAGCAGTGGACGGACGCAGAGACATCCGGTGCGTGCCAGGGACAGGAGGAGGACGCGGACGCGAACCACGACCACTAGCGCGGGCAGCACGAACAGGCGACGCGGGACGAGCGGGCGGTGCGCGGGCGGCGTGCGGTCGGTGAGGGGCCGGGACGGGCGCGCGCGGGCGGCTAGGGGCCTGAACGGGCGGCGCGCGAGCGGCTAGGGGCCGGGACCGGCGGCGCGCGGGCGGCTAGGGGCCTGAACGAGCGGCGCGCGAGCGGCTAGGGGCCGGGACGGGCGGCGCGCGGGCGGCTAGGGGCCTGAACGGGCGGCGCGCGAGCGGCTAGGGGCCGGGACGGGCGGCGCGCGGGCGGCTAGGGGCCTGAACGGGCGGCGCGCGAGCGGCTAGGGGCCGGGACGGGCGGCGCGCGGGCGGCTAGGGGCCTGAACGGGCGCGCGCGGGCGGCTAGGGGGCCGCAGGGCAGGCCGAAAGAGTGAGAGCGAGGGCCCGGAGCGCGCTCCGGGCAGAAAAAAAAGTTTAAAAAGTGGTGGGCCCTAAGCACAGTTCCCACGGGGGAACCTGCTCGATACCATGTGGAAAATAGAACGAGAATGAATGCACTATGAAAGAGTTGGGTACAAATAGCAAAACCCTAATTGGGTTGTACCCCCTATGGGATACCCCACTGTAGCCTACACAACAGCATAAGCTACATATATGTTCTGACACACGACGCCGACGCGAGCGCAATCCCTCCAACATTAGCTCGTATTCGATATCACTAATCTCACCACGAGAATGACGAGCCACGAGATCCTCCTCTAGGGCGCGCAAATTACCGGCCTCCACGTTCGCCTCCTCTGTACTCATCCTCTACGACGTCTCTATAAGGTACCACAAATTAAAATAAAGTGCCCCTTCCTTAAATCCCTCGTCTCGGGGTCACCTCACAAGGGTCCTCAGACGAGTGGTAATAAATTACCAAACGCCCTATCCTTGGGTCCGAGAACGTAACTGGAGGGAAATCAAGAGAGGTTCAACTTAGATTGATAAGCGCCCTTCACAAACGCCGCACGCCAAGGCGAGTATACGAACGCGAATATCAACGACGACGGAAATCTATGTGTGTTCGTTCCACGCTCACCGCACCATGAAGGAATATATTAGAGAGCGTAGCGATAGTGAGAGAGTCTCTGCTATGGGAATGATGTTGCGCCAGCAACTTGGTAGAGTATTGGTAGCGTTTGCCTCTAAGGACTTTGTGAGAATTGAAGTAGCATTTGGGCCAAGTAGAATTGCAATATCAATTATCAAATTCACAAGCAAACACAAACATATATAGGCAAGCAAGAGTTGCACAATTGTTGCGTGGCGCTGCGAGTAACCCAACCCACACGAAAGTGCTGTGCAGGTGGGTGAACGCGCCCCGCACATTTCCAACACAACTCGGCACCGGAATGTCTCACCGTGCACGCTAATCCTGCCAACACAGCAAGTGAGCAGCGTGCCTCATAAGCAAGGCACCTACGACCCCCAAGACTCGTCATTCCTAGCACCGATTCCGCCGAGTTCGCTGCAGTAGCTCACAGTCACCCGTAGTCACTAATGACCGCCACCGAACTCGTGCGTCGGTGCCGAGTAGACTCAGTCGTTAGGCACCGACCCGCCAAGTCAAAGGTCATCGAGGGCCCTTGCTGTCTTAGGGCCCTCTAACACATCCGCCCCGCACCGCGTGGGCCAATTTATGGGACCAAAGGGCTTTCTATTCCCTCTCCCACCTCCTAGGCCTATAGCCTAATCATCACCCATAACTAGGGCTTAGCAAATAGCCATCGCAAACCCCTTTGGGTTGCCCA